CCCTTCGCAGATTAGTTGACTCTGTAGAAAAGATTGAACCTCAGACCTTTTTGGACTTAGATGTGATGGCCTTATCGCATCTCAGAGTGCTTCACAGATATTTGTTGTCAAGTATAGTGACTGTATAGAAAATCACAGCAGCTATTTTGTACATAGCACAAGATGCTAAAATGAGCAAGAAGTAGCTGACAACAACAACAACAACAAATTATATTTGTATAGCACCTTTCACATTGGGAAGATGTCTCAAGGCCTGGATAGTCAGGGATTTGGACCCAAACAGGGGCTTGGGATCAGGAGGTGTGGGAGGTGGCAAAAGTGTGGTCGAAAAGGAAGGTCTTGAGACGAGCCTTGAAGGAGGCAAGGGAGGGAGCGAGGCGAAGGGACTGGGATTGAGTTCCAGAGAGTAGGGGCAGAGGAGCTAAAGGCCCAACCACCAGTGATGTGGCGGGCATCATGGGGGATGAGGAGCAGGCTGAAGCCTGCTGAGCGGAGGGAGCGGACAGGTGGATATGGGGTTAGCAGATCATAGAGTTAGGAAAGAGCAAGGCCTTGAAGGCCAGGATGAGGATTTTGAACTCTTATCTTCTGGGGGATGGGGACCCAGGGAGCCGGGTGGGGGTGATAGGGGTAACGGAGCCCAATGCGGGAGAGGACAAAAGCTGCAGAGTTCTGGATGATCTGCAGCTTGGGGAGGGAAGAGTTGGGAAGGCCGACAATCAGGGAGTTGGCGTAGTCGAGCCTAAGATGTGATAAATGCATGGATGATGGTTTTGGAGGCCTGAGGGGAGAGGCAGTGGTGGAGCCGGACGATGTTGCAGAGGTCGGAGAAGGCAGAGCGGACCGTGGCACAGGTGTGGGGTAAAAAATTTGTGGACGGTGTTGCTGCCAGTGCCTGAGCTGACAGGAGCCAAACAGAAGAGCTTCGGTCTTGTTGACATTCAACTGGAGAAAGTTTGCTTTCATCCAGGACTTGATGTCTGACAGACATTCTGTCAGGACAGCAGTGGTCCTGGAGTCGAGGGTGGAGGCAGAGAGATAGAGGTGGAAGTTGACTCCATGTCTGCGGATACATGTGGAAGTTGACTCCATATCTGCGGATAATGTCACCAAGAAGAAGCATGTACATGTTGAAGAAGAGAGAGGACCAAGGACAGAGCCCTGACCAATTTATATGGAAGGTTTTTGGCGCAGACTCTTGGAGAAACTCTTCTCTTTGTCGAATAGTACCATGGAATCTTTAAAGTCCTCCTGAAAAAGCAGCTGGGACCTCAGTTTAACATCTCATCTGAAGGACAGCACTTCCAACAGTGCATCATTTCTCCAGCATGCACCGGACTGTCAGCTTAGACTATGAGGTGAAGCTCTAAATTTGAGGCTTGAAGCTAAAACCTATCAATCTCCAGGTGAGAGCTATGAGTTGAGCCAACTTTCTACAGCCAAATGTCAGCAAGACTGAGACGCCCCCGATTGGCTCGCGCCAGGGCCTCAGCACCTCAGGCACTGGCAGCATCAGCAACCATAGTTGCACACACCACCTCACCAAGCCAGTTAGGAACATGGGCATCTAGTTTGACCCTCAACTTTTATTTCTTCCCCGTATCCATGCCATGCCCCATTCTAACTCCCACACCTCCACAACATTGCCCGACTCTGCAACTGCCCCACCCCTCAGGGCATCGAAACCCTCACATACGCATTCGTCACCTGTGGAAACTTCCTCCTTGTCGGCCTCCCCAACTCTTCCCTTCACAAGCTGCAGCTCGTGTTCTCTCCTGCACCAGGCTCCGTGACCCCATCCTCGCTCAGCACCACTGGCTCCCCATCCCTCAGAGGATAGAATTCAAAATCCTCGTCCTCACTTTTAAGGCCCTCCATGGCCTTGTCCCTTCCTACATTTCTGACCTGATGACTCCACGCCCCCCCCCCCCCCCCATCAACCTGTCCACTCCCTCTGCTCAGGAGGCTCTGGCCTGCTCCAGGTCTCCTGCCCTCGGTGGCTGGGCTTTCAGTCTCCCTGCCCCCACTCTTTGGAATTCCATCCCACAATCCCTTCGCCTTGCTCTCTCACTTGCTTCCTTCAAGGCACGACTCAAGATCCTGCTTTTTGACGATGCCTTCACCTCACCTCTGCTCGGCTGGCTCTGGTCTCCTGCTTGTCCTTCTTCCACTTTGCTCCACCAGCGGCGACCGCACCTTCAGCCACTATTCCCTGAAGCTTTGGAACTCTCCCCCAGACCCTCTGCCTTGCCTCATCCTTCCCCTTTTTTAGATAATGACGAAAGACCTTCCTCTTTGACGTGCTCAAAGTCATTTCCTCTCTCCCCCCAGCTCGGCTTTAGGCTCTGCCACTGTTAAGTGCTCTTGAGACACTATCCTGCGTGAAGGGCAAGCACAAAGAATGCTGTTCTTCGAATTAATCAATTAATTAATTTGCATTTTAACTTGAACATGCTCCCTCTTGGTGACATCGTCCACAGACATGGGGTCAACACCCAATTCTATATCTCTGCCTCCACCCTTGACTCCAGGACCCTCTGTCAGACATCAAGTCCTGGATGAGAACTAACTTTCTTCAGTGGAGCCTCAACAAGGCCGAGGCTCTTCTGATTGGCTTCCGTCAGCGCCTCCACTCAGGTGCTGACAGCATCACCATCCAAGGATGCACACTCCACCTTACTGAGCCAGTCTGGAGCCCAGGTGTCTTGTTTGACCCTCAACTATCCTTTCTACCCCACATCCTTTCCATGACCCGCTCTGCCTTTCCCCCATCTCCGCAACATCGCCCGACTCCGCCACTGTCTCACACTGCAGGCCACTGAGACCCTCATACATGCATTTATAACATCCAGGCTTGACTATGCAAACTCTCTGCTGGCCAGTCGCCCCCAACTCCTCCCTCCATAGGCTGCAGATCATCTAGAACTCTGCAGCCCGTGTCCTCTCCCACACCAGGCTCCATGCTCATCCCCATCCTCGCCGACTCCACTGGCTTCCCATTACACAGAGGATATAGTTCAAGATCCTGGTCCTCAACTTCAAAGCCTTCCATGGCCTCACTCCCCCCTATCTCTGCCACCGCCTAACCCCCTACCAACCTGCCCACTCTCTCTGCTCAGTGGGCTCCGGCCTGCTTCACGTTTCCCGCCTTGCCTGCCCCACCACTAACGGGGCGGTCACTCTGCCTCCACCCTCTGGAACTCCATCCCAAGGTCTGGGATACCCTCTGCCTCGCCCTCTTCCTTGCCTACTTCAAGACCCATCTCAAGACCTTCCTCTTGACCCTGCCTTCGATCATCATCCCTGCCCTCCACCCTCCCCGATCCCAGCCCCCAGCTCACGTCTCAAACACTGACTGTCCAGAGCCTTGGGACGTCCTCCTGATGTGAAAAGCTCTATACAAATGTAATTGTGTTGTTGTTGTTGTTGATGTTGGGGTCCTCATGTGAAACACCTGGCTGACCACAATTGAAATAAATCAATGTCTTTGGACCAGCATTTGTAATAACAATAATAATCCTCACGTTTGATATAGCACTGTATCGAGTTATCGAGACGTCTCAAAGCACTTCACAGAATATACCGTGAAGTGAATTGATGTATTTGTTTTAGCAAAATGCGGCAGCCATTTGCGCAGAGCAGTGTCCCACAAACAGTCATGGATTGAGTGACCAAATTTAGGAACATAGGAATTAGGAGCAGGAGTAGGCCATTCAGCCCTTCGAGCCTACCCCGCCATTCAATAAGATCATGGCTGATCTTCTAATCTAACTCCGTCTGCCTGTCTTATCCCCATATCCCTTAATACCTCTATCCTTTAGAAATTTAAAAATATGTACTTTTCAAGGGAATATTACCCTCGGAAAATGATCCGCCAATCGACTAACAAACGGATTCCTACTCACTGCTAGGTAAACAGAGTAGTGAAGATTATCAGAAGAAATGATGAGCACTATACAACAATAACAACAAAATTCCATTTATAGAGCACCTTTCACGCTGGGAGGATGTCCCAAAGCGCTGAAGCACTATATTCTTAAAGTCGAAAGAAACTTAATCTATTATTTACAGAAAAAGTGTTTTGAGGGGATGGTTTCACTAGAAAATTGCCTATAAATATATCTGATGTAACTGGATTCTGTCTCTGCTCAAATATACCTTCCAAATTCTTGGTATCCATGCATAGCCTAAAAGAATTTCTAAGAGACCATTTTTAATATTATTAAAGTCAAGATATTTTTGAGTAAAAAAAAAGTTTAACCATGTTTCACGTGTAGCCTTACAGAGTCAAATCATTCTACCCTATGCATCTAGTTTCAGTGAACATTAGTGCACTGCACAAAATTGCCAGCAGTTAGCACGTCACTAACTTTGGTACATTGTTTCTGAAAGGGTATAGTGATAATATTAGATAGCAGTGCAAGAATGTGATGGCATAGATGTTGAAGTCATGTTGAAGCAGTATAAGCGAATTGACATTTTTGAAACGTTTCAGTCATTTGTGAGTTTTATGAAAAGCAATAAAGTCAAAAGAAGATTTGCATAGATCACAACATATCTGTTTGTCAAAGTAAAATAATGAACATTCATATAAAATATTCAGTGTTGGTGTGTGCAGGGTGCACACTTGCCACCTAAATTGAATAGAATATGCAGCAACCTTCAGATAACAATGTTCCGCAGATTGACAACACTCATTCCAAAGTAATGAAATTCTCTCATGCCTCTTTTGTTCTTTGGAGTTCTTTTAAGTTTGGCAGCATGGCAATCGGATCTGAATTGTTTAGTCTTACAGAACTTAATTAAATCTTGCATTTTAATTCTGTAACTCATGGTGACAGAGTTTAGGGAGGATGCAGAAACACAATTTAGAAACGTGGCCACACAGAGGAGTCACTCGAGCCATCTGCAAAGTTTCCCATTCACTTGTATTAAATTCTTAAGATAAAAGCCATCAGCTTATCAAGTGGTTTCTAAATTAGTACGGAGTCTTGATAAGCCATGCCACAGGAAACGCACTGGAGAATACATTAATGCAGAGTAGTTGGGGGCAGTGAAGCATTTGTGTGGGATTGTGTGCTCCTGTCCTTTTAATTAGCTTTTTATTTTAAAAAAATGAGGATGCATGTTATTTACGATTCTAGAGAAGAAGAGGGAACTGAGGAACAGGAGGAGGTTAATGAACCACAAACTGATCTTAAAGTTGTATGTTAAGTGTCCGTTGAAGGAAAGCTATTGAACCCATATTTGTTTTCTTTTCAGGCGTTTGGTAAACCCTTTGTGGAAGACAGGGGCATTGAATTTGCTAAGAAATGCAGTGACCAGATAAGTGATGTAAGTATTTCAGCTGGTTTCTATGCAGAATCTTGATTAAATACATGAAGTCAACATTCTTTTTGGTTTAGAGATACTATTAGGAAATTGATAATCATCACTTAGTATGTCATTACATAAATGCGATGAATTACTGAGACTCCTTCAAATACTGACTTGATGGGATCGATGATGTTGTGTTACGATAGTTTCTGGTTCGGTGTCAAGTTCGCAAATGTTCAGTGCTCTAAGACTCTACCCCATGTGAAGACTGCTATATGAATGTAAGTTGTTGTGTTTTTGTATTACTTTTGAGTTGCATGTTTGGCTTTTCAGATTAAATACAAAGAAGAGCACGTAAAGTCAAAAGGCAAGTTTACCTTTGTCCCGGACACACCTCAGCAGCAATGTATGAAAAATGCAACTGCTCTCATTTCTGAGGTGAGCTGCTTGTGAAATCATTCTAAATTAATCTTGGATGATGACTGATGATGACTTGTGTCCTAATAGGGTTATATATCAAGATACCAATTATACTGCAGCTTCCCTCTGGGTTTACTTAGGCAAGTGAAGCATCTACTGCATTTGTTAAGCTCTGCTCATTACAAGCCCAAGACACTTTATGATTATGGTGATTAAAGTGCCAGAAACCTGAAAAACCTCACAATTTTATCCTTTAAACTATTCTCTTAAATTTACAATTGTGCAGAGATTCTAGAAAAAAATCTTAAATCTTAAATCAGTCTTGATCCTGAAGCCAGTTTTGCAGAGAAAACATGCTTCAAAATTAATACTACGCTTTAGGATAAGTTCTTCAGTGCAAGCTTAAATTTTAAGGCAATGGCCTTACCATTAATTAAGTTCCTGAGAAATGTAGGCCTGTCTGAATCTGCAGTTATTTCATTCAGTTTGTGTCTATTTGTGATGGATTGTTGTAAATGATGTTATATCTTAAAAGGGTGTGAGTCTGCCTCAGTTAGTAGCACTCTCGCCTCTGAGTCAGTAGGTTGCGGATTCAAGCCCCATGTCAGGTCTTTGAAATCACAGCCTCAGCCGACTCTCCAGTGCAAGGCTGGGATGTACTGCATTGTTGGAGGTGCCAATCCTGAGATGATAAACCAAGGTCTTGTCTGCCTGTCCAGGTGATATTAAAGATCCTATGACCATTTGAAAAGCAAAAGGAGTTTCTCCCAATCCTGGACAACCATCTCCCAAATAAAATTAGTCATTTACTTTGTGCTTGTTGTGTAGCATTTCTATGTGCAAATTTGCTGCTTGCATTTTGCCTACGAAACACAGTCACTGCACTTTACAGTACATCCTGTGAAGTGCTTTGAGATGACATCCTGACCTAAAATGTGCTGAACAAAATGTAAGGATTATTATTATATTCTTGCTGTGTAAACTTGTGCTAATCAGTAAACATCAATGAGTTTGTACAGAATTGGAACATCTACTTCATTCAAAAGTTTACACAGCTCATTCAGAATTCTGCCGCCCGGATACTGACCCCGACCAAATTCCGTACCCACATCTCATCAGTTCTGGCCAGGCTCCACTGACTCCCCATCACCGAATGGATTGACTTCAAGATCCTCACATTTGTGTTCAAATCCATTCACTCTCTGGCACCTCCCTACCTCTCCGACCTCCTCACTCCCCAATTCAACACCCGGCGTTTCCGCTCGACTGACACTGGTCTCTTGCTCATCCCTCGCACCCTCGCCCCACCGTCAGAGGTCACACTTTCAACCACTACGCCCCAAAACTCTGGAACACTCTTCCCTCAATCCCTCTGTTTTGCCCCCTCTCCGTTTTCAAGTCCCGCCTGAAAATCTTCCTCTTTGACTGTGCTATATCTCAAAGCAAGATGAATTAAGTAAAAACATTGTTGCCACATGGGACCCTCTCAGTATTGCTTTCAGGGATAGAATGAATTACATAGCCATTATATTCAGCCTATTCCCCAAATACTATTCGTTTATTGAAGGAGCTTGTATAGAAGATGTTCAATTGAAAGCAATATCAGGTGAACTGTTGCCAGAAATGTTATTAGTAAAACTTGAGTTTCCTCTTAAAGGAAATGCATCCCTTAGATATTATGACCTTTATATGAAGTATAAAAATAACTTCCATTGCACCATACCAATACAGAGCTTCCTTCACAGCCTGAAAATATACAAAGCCATATAATAATAATAATCCTTGCATTTGGTATAACGCCTTATCAAGTCTTCGAGACGTCTCAAGTGCTTCACAGAATATACTGTAAAGTGAACTGACTGTATATTTTGTGGGCAATACATGACAGCTAATTGCGCACAGCAGTGTCCCACAAACAGTTGTGCATTGAAGTGACCAATTTATTATTATTTTTTTGAAGTAGTTATTACCCCCGTAAAAGCGATCTGCCAATCGACTAACAACCGGGTTATTAGCCAATTGACTAATAACTACCGGGTTTCTAATTACTGCCAAGTAAACAGATCCGTGTGGAGTAAGGAAACTTGCTTAACATTTTGTCCTCCCGGAAATCGAACTCAGGTCTCTCGCTTGTGAGGCGAGTGCTCTAACCACTGAGTTACAGGACTCCGAAGGTGGAGCGGAGGACTTGGGGGACAAGGAGGAGGCCAGACCTGGAGGAACGAAGGCAAGGGTACTGTGCTGAGGAGAGAGGAGGTCAGAGAGATAGTGGGGTGCAGAGAAGTGCAGGGACTTGAATACGAGGGTGAGGATCTTGAAATAAGAGCGATCATTTGGCATGTCAAGCTCACTCCTTCTACATATCATGCAAAACCTTTCATATCATGCAGCCAGTATACTGACTGTCTTTGACTTCAGTAACAGACTTTCTCTTGAATTGCAATATAATACTTAATTAACTTTGGGTTTGGTGTTGGCAGCTTCACATTGAAACTTTCAGCGAATGTTCAGTGATCACACTTAATTCTTTTGCCTTCTTTCGGACCCAATATATATTAGGTTACATTGTCTACATTTAAAATTATCAGAATAAATTCCTTGAGCCATCGGGAATCTTCTTTTAAAATGGTTGCAGAGATTTGGTTAAATGCCATTCTTAAAATCCATGATCTTAGTTAACGTCAGACGCAAAAGACGTACCTCACTGGAATATTCAGCTCAGATTATTCACTCAGGTTGCAACTCATAGACTGGATGTCTACTAACTGAATGGAACTGATGTATGTTATGAATACCTAATCAAGATTCTCCTAGAAAAATATGAAGCTTGTTTTGTTGATGCAAGAAAGTGAAGGAGAGAACAAGGAAAAATCCCTCTTGCCATTAAGTGCACTTGTTATTGTTATAATTGCATGAAAATGCAATTATAACAATAGCAACGGGCATTTATACACTACATCCTTCCTATGGAATAATGTGTTGGAGAACATATATATCATAAGTAGTTGGTTAAAATCATTGCATCAAATATTGGCCAAGATTGTTAAAGACAACCTTTTGAAAACTTCTGAGTCATCATTATAATTTTTGGTTAAAATGTTGAGTCTCATTTTCCCATTGTGCAGATCAAGTACAAAGGAGCTGGGAAAGAAGAAAGCTCCAAGTGTTTGTATGCACAGATGCCAGCAACCATCGATACTGTCTTTGCCAAAGAAGTTTCACAGATTCAGAGTCAGGTATGATGATTTAATTGGTCTGGTTCTGAAGTGTGCACTGAAAATATTAGTGTTATCTGTACTGTAAAGGTCAAATGGAAGTTATATTCATGTGGTGACAGTTTCAACATAACACTTCTCTTAGTAATTATACTTCCAAATTGTATTTCCATGGATCCGATCTTAATCTTGAGGGAAAGTAGCCTTATGATTTTTGTGCTGGGTTTAAAGTTACGTTTATTAATGTCATTTCTGCACAAGAAGGCAACACCCTTGCATTGTAACTGCTACAAGAGGACTATTACATGGAAAATCTAAATTAGTTCATTAGTTCAACACTGAATATTCATTCAGTGTTGTGAAATGCAACTTTGTTCAACCAAATAAAACATCTATTTTGAATTGATGCCCGAGCAACACAGATGGGTAGAAATTTCACCCTGCTTCCACATTTTCTTCATGTCTCAGAGCACTGTAATTTGGCATTTTATTAAACGCAGTCTTAATTTTGTTGCTGTTTTTCTGCAAGTTCTGCACAAAAAACGGCTTCATAATGAAAACAATTTAAAGTGCACATTGTGAAATTCTAAGAACTTGGAGTAAGTCTAGACCCAAGTCGAATTTCTACCCTACATGGTGAGCATGGATGCTGATGCATTTATTACATATTTATCTATGTGTTCAAACAACTCTTCCCAGAAATGTGGGTGAGTCCTAATCCTGGGATTCCACCAGTATATTACTGCCATGATTAACACGAGCAGTTTGCAGCAAATTGCATTTATATAATGCCTTACACTTCTGGTGAATGTCCCGAAGCACTGGAAACAGTGCTCATGTTAAGAAATGCAGAATTAAGTTGCAATATAATTATGCCACTTTGGACTTTTATTTTTTCAAAATTAACATTTAAAACTTTGCAACATATAACGTCAATAACAGTGTGTGATCCAAAAAAGACGAAACCAAAATGAAACTTCCCTTTTCATTACAGACTGGTTAACTTTATTTTCCTTTATTTGTCAGAAATATTATAAACACAAACATGACGTTGAGAAAGGAAAATCAAATTACTCAAGCATGCAAGAACCACCGGAGGTTAAACATGCGATGGAAGTCAACAGAAATCAGAGTACTGTAAGTCAACTATCTATTCTATTCTGTTAGGAAAAATACCTTGAGATATAATACATAGATGTATCATAGGGATACAAATGACATGTCAAGCGACTGCCAGAATGGTGGAAGGCGAATCAGATGGTCCTTGGTCTTCTTTCGCCTAGCAAAAGGTTCTTGTTTGTTGAAGAATAATAGAATAAGCAGAGATTTCAAACAAGATTCTTCAATTAATTAGATAATTAAGGAATCCATAAAAGCATTATGTCAATTTGTGGGAACTGCATTCAGACTCTCTTTCTGTAGCAAAGATCCCAGAAGATGGCATGAAATAACTTCTGTTACCAGAATTTTATTTTTGGTCAGGAAACTCCTCACCAAATATAGGAGTATCCAAACAAAAGTGCCGAGAGTTCTACGTATGTTTAGAAACTTCCATTTGTTTGGTATGTAATGTGCATTCTCTCCCCAGTAGGGACACACTTTTCTCATCTAAAATAGCAAATTATTAGGAGCTGATTGGCAAAAGACAAATTTTGTGAACTCTTAGAGTGTGCATTGCGGGTACTGCTGTAGTGTAAGCAGCTTGCCATTGTGATCACAGGAAAGCTTCCTGCTGCTTGTCCAGCTCGGATCTCCCTACTCCTTAGGGCTTTGGCTCCAAGGTTTGCAGGAGCTGAGTGAGATGAATCAGTGCCAGAGATGGTTAATGAGCCAAGTAGGCTTGTCAGTCTATATCAGTGCCCCAAAGTAATGCAAATCCGCCTGGCTCAAGAACTGAACTACCGAGACCACCACAGAGAATTGACTTGATTCCAATATTCCTTGCTACGCAAATCAGTTTGGAACCAGCTCAGCCCCAAAGAGACCCTGGTTAGCTGCCCTTCCCCCCAAAGGATAGAGTCCCACTCAGACCCCAGAATCGTAAAAGTATTCCTGCAACATGATCTACCAAGAAAGAAAATCTGGTTATTGATAAATGAGGAAAGCTCTAGTTTATATCATATACTTATTTTTTTTGGTACAAACTCCTCATTGGTGTTTTTGCCATCTTTTCATTGATACGCTTGTTCTATAGGAAATGCACTTATAGGAAAGTTTAATAATTGTTTGGGCATGCAGTGTGAAAACAGTGATTATTCTTTCTCGGGTAAAATATTGTGAATAATTCAATTTCTTTGGAAACTAATTTGACTAAATTTTCCTTAAGTAGTCCTTTTAAAACACTACGTTTTCTCAGTGGCAGAATTTTTTCATCCAGTTTATGACAAACAGTGGGGCATTTATGTGATATTTTATTTCCTGCCAGATTTTTTCCTTTTACTTTATCACTTAGGTTTGGCAGTAAACAATCCTGACCAGAGTTACTTAAGGCAACAAGTACATTAATTAATGCAGGTGTTACTGTTAATAGCATAGCACAAGGCTTTCTTTTCCCTGAGCTGTTCATCACTAAAGCTTTGGTGTTAATTAAATGAACAGACAGCTGGTCTTGATAATGCCAGAGCCACATAAAATAGCACTAAAACCTTCAGCAAGCAAAACCTATCCTGCACCAGAGTCACACTCAAATAAATGGAGCAGCTGTTGTCAGGGGAAAAAAAAGGAAGGAGGTTCCATAACATCCATTGGATTTATGAGCTCCTCTGGCGTTTCCTGTTTATTAGTGAACATCAAGTCTGATGTCGACCCGGACTGGACAAACAAATTATAATTGATTTATAGTTGACTTGGAGAAGAGTTGCAAACGTAATCTGTGATTAACCCAGCTTTACCATTACAAATTGACAACTGGTCATATTGGGAACAGCAGGAAGCCATTCAATCCTTCAAGGCTGGTCTGCCAGTTTGTCTTTTAATCTCATTTTTCTGTCTTTTCTCCATGTCCCTTTTTCCATAAACCATCTTACTCTGGTAGAGTGCGACCCTGTTATAACTCACTTTTTTATAGCGAGAGTAACATCACCTCCCCCTCTACCCGGCTTGGTGTCAAGCTCCAGCACTGTTAATTACTCGAAGGCACTATCCCGTGGAGGACTCTATATAAATGCAGGTTGTTGTTGTTTTATATTCCAAAAATCACTGTATAAAGTTCAACAGTTAATTAGCATTAATTGATTTCTACATCTGCAATCTAGATTTTAATGAATTAGGAATTTGGATTCCAGAATTATTTATCTCTCCTTTTGCTGAACTTCCCAATATTACTATCTGTCATTGTTGTGTCCATAGTGTCTGTCAGAGATTTCTCTGGCATCTGCTAAATACAATATAGTCTTTCTAGCCTTTCCAAAAAGTCTTATGTATAAGTTGAATGATTTCCGATTGTCTTGTGTGTTCAGGACACCAGGTACAATCGTCTGTGCATATAATTGCCTCCACCTCCGGCTCGGGCTCCTATACAGTACTCCTCTGTGAAGTGTTTTGAGAAGCCCTCTTAAAGGCTGATTATAGTTGTAAAATTCTTGTTGGTTGTAGTTTGCGCATTTGGAAGGATGTCTTCCCATGTATGTGATGAACACAAGTGTCATTACCTATGTGATTCCCTGGGACAGTGGAAAAGTGCGGAAATATTTGCCAAAAGATTACGGGGAAATTTGTAGGGAAGTGCGGGGAGTTGATTGGTGCTGTTGGGGTACATTTTACTGCCAACATACATTTTTTCACTTTATTGATAAAAACTAAAACACGGGGAAATAACACATATTACAAAAAAAATATGAATTGCTTCTTTAACAAAAACTGGGTGGCCCATTTTTTTTCTCAGTGGGGTGGGTCGGTGGACACCAACGCATTTCCTGGTCTGCCCACAGTGACGTCAGGTAAACAGTGAGAGGCCTGGGTCCAGAAACAAAATTTTTAGCATGTTTATAGCGGAGGAGGGTGTTTGTAGTGGATTCCATGGAAAAAGTGCGACCGCACTTTTCTGTTGACCCAGGTGATTACCTAGAATCCTGTTTGGATTCATTTTACTTGTACCGGTTTGCTATCCCAGGAAAGATAAACCCAGACAAAAAGAGTGATTTGTGGGAGCTACTTGATGTTGCCTTGAATTGTCAATGCAAATTCAGTGAAAATTTCAGCACCTTGTGATGTCCTTCTGACATGAAAGACATTATATAAATATAATTTGTTGTTGTAAATCCCACTCCAAATCCACAAGGTCCAGTGCAGAAAATTATTTTTTTTGCTCTTCTCTGAACCTTATGCATCAGAGTCCCTTTCACAGTTGCGTGTCCAAATAGCATAGAAATGCAAATTTAGATTCACTCCTGATCTGTATAGGAATGGAATAATTTGCTTCAACTGATAATAAACATTCTTGTATTGCATCCTTATACTTGATTTGCTTTGCTGCTAAATTATTGATCATTCGCTGAAAGATAGACCAGTTCTTTAAGTGAATGATCAATAATCTCAAACCTTATTCAGCTTTGCTAATGGAATCCTGTTCAATATAAAGGGTCTAGCACATAGATTTGAACATGCATGGGAATGGCCAAAGAACAATGTAGTAGATTGATCTACACAGATTTGCAAAGAAGGTCACTTGGCCCAACCTGTCCGTGTACTCCACACGAGCCTTTACACTTTCCTTATTGTCTTTCATACCCTTCTAATCCCCTCTCCCTCAGATTAAAGTAACACAATTTAACTTTGCGAAGTTATGTTTGTAACAAACATTTAACAACTGATAAAATAGCAGAAATAATGAACAAACTTGTGCAAACTTAAAAAATTTAACTTGAACTTATTGTGATGTTTTTCATGAAAGTTTTGAACGTCTCATAAAGTGCTTCAAAAAAATCCTGATAGGGATCCTTGAGCAGAGAGAAAAGGTTGTAACTTTGTTGATCGAAGACCTGATTTTTTGGGATTAGGTGCAAGGTGAAGACATTTTGGTAGAGTTTTCCATAGAGTGAGGGCACAATGACTGAAGCCTATGTCACTGATCCTGGGATAGTGGGAATGATGAAGCAGTTGACCAGATTTCATCCCCATCCCCAACCCCCAGGCCAACAAGTGAGGTGGAGGGATTTAGAGGGTTTCGCCCACAAAATATATAGTCAATTCACGTTGCAGTATATTTTGCGTATAATCTAAGCGGGAGTCTCCTTGGAGCTGAACTGGCTCCAAGGTGACATGCCTGGCAATGGAATGTCAGATCGAGTCAGCCCTCTGTGGAGGTCTCGGTAGTCCGGTTCCTGAGCGAGCCGGATCCACAGTATTCCAGGGCACTGCTGATGACAGCACAGCCAGCCTGGGTCATCAGCAGGACCGGGAAGGGCAGACCAGTCACTGGGAGCAGGGAATCCTTCCACTTAGCTCCTGCTAACCCTGCAAGCCAAAGCCTTAATGGATAAAGTGGCCCTAGCTGGACAAGCAGCGGGAAAGCTTGGCCGGAAAGCAATATGAATGGCAAACTATGCGGTTTTAGCTGGCTAGACTCAGCAGTTTCCCAACGTACACTCTGGTGTCCCCAGGCCTTGGCTCTTTCCAACCTGCGCTTAATACTTTCCGGAATTAGGTAAGCAGGATTCATCCCTCCAGGGAGAGAGTGTGCATACAGTTGCAACAATCTATCTCTGGTATTTCCATGTGTAGGTGGGATACATGGAAATTCAGCTTGGTTTAGATACTCTTAAGCACACTGATGGGTTTCCACATGTGGCTGACACCCCCCACCCCAAAAAAAATTCTGCGAAGTGCTTTGAGACGCCTCGAAGACATGATAAGGTGCTATGTCAAATGCAAGGATTATTATTATTATAGACCAGAGCAGGAGGATCAGAGGGCGCAGGCAAGATAATCGGTCTTGAGTAGATTACAAAATTGGGAGGGCAAGATTATGAGGCGATTTGAAGGTTATTTGAAATTGATTCACTGAAGTGCAGGAAGCCAGTTAAGCCTCACAAGTATGGGACTAATGAGGATTCCAAAGGCATACACTGTAATGAGACATTCTGTAGTGTCATATGTTCAACCAAAAAAAGTCCAGTCATGAGGTGATAAAACTCGAGAGTGTCAAGTAATGACAGTATTTAAATCCATTATTATAGGGGCTGTGAAGTAAATATTTTGACTGATATGTTACATGGTTGTTGATTAAAACTTCTCGTTGTGACAGTGACTTTATCAACATTATTTAACCTAGTGATTAAATGGAGTTTGTGGAAGAGCCGGTAATGAGGGTTGTGTCAGAGCTTGTATCTATGATACAAAGCCGATATGCTATGTGTTGACATGTTAGATGCCAGAGGGACGAGCTGTGTTCTCGCAGCCCCATGCTATTTTGAAACAAATTGGTACTGAGGGGCTCGCTCATGTGTAAAGAAGTTATAAATTTCCGTTGTTTTTTGGGTCTGGTTTCTTCCTGTGAGTGCATTATTACATAATATAACTGCCAATTAGAGCTTTTTCCCCCTCTGGACTTTTACTTAAGATAAATATTAATCCACAGTATATATCTGCAAAATGTACTAACAAATAAAATTAAAATATCTAATTCAATGCTTTATACCGTCTCCTTTTCAATATCTGTATGCTCCCTCTTGATGACATCATCCGCAGACATGCAGTCAACTTCCACATGTATGCGGATGACACCCAAATGCCTCCACCCTCGATTCCAGGACCACTGCTGTCCTCACAGAATGTCTTGTTAGATACCAAGTCCTGGATGAGAGCTAACTTCCTGCAGTTGAACGTCAGCAAGACTGAGGCCCTCCTACTTGGCTCCCGTCAGCGCCTCCATACCTTGGGTGCTGACAGCATCACCATCCATGGATGCACTCTACATCTCATGGAATTAATATGGAACTTCAGTGTCCTGTTCAACCCTCAACTGTCTTTCATACCCCACATTCGTGCCATGGCCCGCTCTGCCGTTCCCCACCTCCGCAACATTGCTCTCCTCCGCCACTGTCTCACACCGCAGGTCGCCCAGACCCTCATACACGCATTCAAACATCCAGGCTCGACTATACAAACTCCCTGCTTGTCGGCCTCCCCAACTCTTCCCTCCACAGGTTGCAGATCATCCAGAACTCTCCCGCACCAGGCTCCACGACCCTATCATCCCCATCCTCGCCCGACTCCACTGGCTTTCCATCACACAGAGGATGCATTTGCAGATCCTGGTCCTCACATGTAAAGCCTTCCATGGCCTTGCTCCCCCCTACCTCTGCGACCTTCTAACTCCCTATCAACTTGCCCGCTACCTCCTCTCAGGCAGTTCCGGCCTGCTTCACATCCCTGTCTCGCCCGTCCCACCCTTGACGGGTGGGCCTTCTGCCACTCTGCCCCCATCCTCTGGAACTCCATCCCACAGTCCCTCCGCTTGCCCTCTCCTTTGCCTCCTTCAAGACCCATCTCAAGTCCCTCCTCTTCGACCTGTGCCTTCGTCAGCCTCTGCCCGCTGCCCCTCCACTCTTCCCGATCCCGACCCCCAGTTTGGGTCCGAAACACTGATTGTCCAGTGCCTCAGGACATCCTCCTGATGTGAAAGATGCTATACAAATATAACTTTTTTGTTGTTGTTGTAAATCAAAAATCGTCATTCATCCATATAAGTTCCAGTCTGGCATACATTACGTTTTCAATAATTAGTAAACGTTTTATTAATTAGCAGGTAAAGTCATTCCATTTTGGCAAAAAAGGTTGTACATGCAGGAGAGACAAACTACTTTTGTTTTGCTGGTTGAATTTTTGATTTTCCAGTGAATGATGATGATAAAACATATTGTTTGCTTTGTTTTGAATAGGTTTTGTACAAGAAAGATGCACTGAGCATGCACAGATACACGGAGATTGCTGACAGACTGGACATCAAAAAAGCAACACAAACATCGAGGCTTGTCAGTAACGTAAGGAACCCTTAGTTTTACTCACAAGTAAAATTGAGCAGATTTCTTTGTGTTGAATACTGAGCTCTGCCATTGGGCATTATTTGCAAATTGACACATGTACAGTCACAACGCTTCTACTGAACACCCCATTTAGTTTTTGCTGCCTCGTGCATGTCTGTTTTTATTTTTCATAACTGAGTACAAAGAATAATGCTCGCCTTTGTTTACCTAGCAGTAAGTCCGGTTGTTAGTTGACTGGCGGATTGCTTTCTGGGGATAATGTTCCCTTCAAAATACTCTGGACTGGTTGTGTCCATCTTCCAGTGGGTACTACTTGAAGGAGTAACATTGGTGCAGATAACTGTAGAGCTGTACTGATGCAGAGCGCCTGCTGTCTGTATCTGTCTTTGACCTTGGTGGATCTGCGTCAGTAGCGGGGGTGTCTGGTGTTATCATCATTGTCTGCTCAGTGCTCTCTAGAGGTGAAGCCTGCTGTCATTGGATAGTGTTATGTTATGCTTCAGAGCTGCCACTGACACACAATACCATTTCTGAATGGAGAGCAAAGGTAATGGTAAACCTGTAACAATACATTTTACAGGTGATGTATATGTATTTCATTTTGTCGGCATTTATCAACACTACTTACAAATATTTTAATTCCTTACACTATTAGACATTCAGACACTTTGACATCTAAAATGCAGACATTTTGCTTAATGTAATTAATAAGCAACTACAATTTTAAGAATAAACTGAAATGTTATTATAGAGGTTATTTATAATTATGATTCATTTTTATAATCTTAAAATACAGACACTGCACTTTACAATATATCCTGTGAAGCACTTTGAGATGTTTTGACGACATGATAAGGTGCTATATCAAATATAAGGATTATTATGATATTGCTGGGTATTAAAGTATTGTGGCTGCATTATTTAATTGCAAGAAATCTTAGAAAAATTGACATCAGAGACTCTGCTGCCTCCAATGAGAGAAGTGTAATCACAATGCTCTCGCTAACTGTGAGCAAGTGTCAAAAGAATAAAAGCTTCACCAGGATTGGCACTTCTCATATAAAATCAGAAGTCGGTGCCAATAAAAAGTAATGTAGCTGCATGTTCTTGTTTGTCCCCGGGTATTTTACTTGTATTTGAAAATTAATTTAGGAGGTATATTAAGATAAATGTTTAAATTCCAGTGTTTGCTGTTGTGTGGAAATTATTCTTCATTAACACTTTAAAGAAAGTTTTGTGGCAAGCAATCTGTCATTCTGTTGAAACTCTTAAGAAAATGAACCAAGGAAATGCAATCAAATCAGTTTCAATCTGTTAGGTGACAGATTGTTGATTAAGACTGAATGCGATACTTGCTAATATTTAACATTTAAATGTTTACTAATTAAATGTTATGTTGTTTTTTTTACAGGTAGAATATAAAAACGACGCTAAAGCGGCAGCAGCTATGAAAACATCCATAATAGGCAGACCAGACATTGAACACGCTAAGGAGGTTTCCAAATTAACTAGTCAAGTAAGCCTTCTGTTGACTTTAGAATTGTTTAAAGGGAAAATATATGTGCACAATAGAGACCCTGATATCCATACTAATTCTAGGATCCACAATGTCCACACACTCCTCCCTCTGCCACGACCTCATTGTCCATGCAGCCAAAACCTTCATCTCTACCTTTGTCACCTCCAGTCTACTTTTCCAATTCCTACCCACCAGCCTCCCAGCCCCAACCTTCACACCCACGAACTCCGCACTCATGTTCTCTCCTGCACTAGACTCCTCAAGGCCATACCTTTCATTCCAAATCTTTAGTTTCACCGGTTCCTGATCATTCAGTGAATTGACTTCAAGGTACTTGGCTCATTCTTACCTTTAACTGCCTTTGTGATTTTTCCCCACCCTAACTCTGCAATCAAATGCAATCCTACTCCCTTGATACTTGCTCTGCTCTGGTTTGCTTCATGCCCTAACCTGCTCCACCCCATCTTTGATGAATGAGCTTTCAACCACTTTTACCTCTGCTCTTGAAACCCTCATCAAAACTTACGGTTAAAAAAAGTTGACCGCACTAACTCTCACGCTGTTTGATCAGTCGTCAACAGTGCCTTTGAGTATTGCAGACCCGCCAGCTCAGGAACTGAATTACTGATATTGTAACAGAGAATTGACTAAATACTAACATCCTTTGCTAAGCACATCACCTTTGAGCCAGCTCAGCTCCAAGAAGACCCTGCTTTACCTTCATATCAACTTAGCAGTAGAAAATGAATAATGATGATTAATTGAAAAAGCTATTTGGGGATGGTGAATGGCAACAACAACTTGCATTTCATAGCGCCCTTTACGCAGGATAGCATTGCGGTTTTGAGTCCCCTCTGTTCACACTATTCATATATGACTCGGAAGAAAGCAGTATGTCCTCCCGATGTGAAAAGCGCTGTACAAATCTGCTATTTTAACATTTACTGATTATTGCAATGATGTGGGCAGGTGAATAATATGAAGAGAAGTTTAAAAAAAACTTCAAGAAAATCTGTATGCATCCAGCAGATGACTCAAGCCCTGAAACATCGATTTTTAATGTAGATAAATGTAAGTTAAATAGAACACAACATTGTAAACTTGTATACATAATAAAATATGTCTATTAGCAGAGGCAGAAAAAAGAAAAATGACCTGAGTGTGGTCAGTGATGGCTCTCTGCAGGTTTCCAGTTAATATTGAAATGCTGTTCTCTGTCCAGCGCCTTGGGATGTCTTCCCGATGTGAAAAGCGCTATACAAATGTAATCTTGTTGTTGTTGTTGTAATATTGAAGCTGTTGTCAGCAAGGCAAGGTTACTGTTAAAAATAATAATATTTGCTTTATCGTGTCATTGAAACACCTCAAAGCTCTTCATGGGATTTACTGTAAAGTGAATTGACTGTGTATTGTGCACACAACAATGTCCCAGTTTTATTTGGGGGATTTGTTATCTAGGACATCGGGAGAAATTCCCTTTTTTTGAATAGTGATCTTGACTTACACTACACTTGTTCGAAGAGAAGACTTCATTTGGAATATTGTGCATACTTTTGAGAACGGTACCTTCAAAATGGCATTAAAGCATTGGAACTGATTCATAGAAAAACAGCAATCATTATTCCATGATTCAGAGTTCTTGAGTTATGAGAAGACAATCAGAGTGTGATAATGCTGTTTGCAAATTGGCTGATGAGGTCATCCACAAAATATAGACAAACACGCCACTTTACTTGTATCCTGTGAAGCGCATTGAAATGTCTTGGTGACATGATAAGGTGCTGTATCAAATACAAGGATTATTCTTATAATAGAGCTGAAATTCCCATTGAAATAAAGACCAATGGTGTAGAAGTGACTAGGCTGTTTGACTTGTACAGTGAGGAGAGAACTAGATTAAAAAAAAACTTTGCATTTGATATAGTGGCTTTCGCGTCACGAGGTATGTAAAGTGTAATGATTGTTCATTTAATTGGTGAATCTGGCAGCCAATTTTCATGTCCATTAGAATGACCAATTTTATTTGGGGGATTGTAAGATAGGACACCAGCCAGGATGATGGTGTGAGAGCAAGAGGCAAGAAGGTCCTGGTGAGAGACAAGTAAAATTGGGGTGCTTAGAACAATATTTTCCAAATTAATTTGTTCCTGAAACTATTTTAAACTGGCATCAAGAATTTCAAGGCAGTCTCAAATAATGTAAACACTGTTTTTCAATCAAATATCCAATATATTTTCAGCAGATCTGAATTTGGAGCAGTTCATGTTGTTTTCTATTTATTTGGTTATTACAATTAAGTTTCCATTATTCAGTCATATTACTTTCAATTAGTTACATAACCACAAGTTCTATTTTATCTTGAGATCAAGTCATCAGATGGTTACCACTTAATGAGCTGAATGGGATAAAAAGGACATTCTCCTCTTGTTGACAGGAAATGACAAGTGGTGATCCACAGGGTTTTGTACCGGGACACAGTGTTCACTCTATATATAACTGACCTGGTTGTGGAAATAAATAGGAGCATATCCACCAAGCTGAGAGCTTTAGTCTTTTGTGAAGAAGAGAGCTAAAAATAAAAAAATGGACATCGACAGATTAAGAGAGCAGAAAATTGAGAAATGTATAAGAATGTAGTGAAGTGTGAGTTAGTACATTTTGGACATAAGAATTACGAATGGGAACACTTTCTAATTCAGGATGTCTTGGGAGGGACCCAGATGGAAATTAGGGGTCTTCGTATATCAATCAATAAAGGCTAGTTTGCAGGTACAAAAACAATCTAGAGTAAGGTTACGAGTATGTTGAGCTATATTAAAGAGGTATAGAACACAACAGCAAAGAAGTATTACTGCCGGCACATAACCCTGCCGGTTAGATCTCATCTGAAATGTGTTAAATTTTGGTAAGCAAATACTGGTCTTGCAGCAAGGACAACAGCAATTGCCAGAACAATACCTTGGATGAAGGGACTTAGATGATAGACTGGGAAAATGTGGATTATATTCACTAGACCTGTGGAGTTTTAGCAATGATTTGATTAAAGTATTTAAAATAATATTTAGCATGATGAATACAATGGGAATTGGGAAGATGGATATGAATGGTTTTGTCAACATTGTCTACAAGGATAATAATAATAATAATACTTGCATTTGATATATCGTCTTATCATGTCTTTGAGATGTCTCAAAGCACTTCACAGAATATATTGTAAAGTGTAGTGACTGTATATATTGTGGGCTAAACGTGGCAGTCAATTGCACACAGTAGTGTCCCACAAACAGTTGTGGATTAAGTGACCAAATTATTATTTATTTTTTTGAAGGAATTATTACCCCTGGACCACTGATCCATCAATCGACTAACAAGAGTTCCTACTTACTCTAAGTAAACAGAGACGTGTGAAGTAAGGAAACCTGCCTAAGGTTTCATCTGGCCTGGAAATCGAACCTAGGTCCTCTCACTTACGAGTGCTGTAACCACAATGCTACAGGACTCCATAGAGAATCTCAATAGAGATCAGGAGAATATGAATCTTCCGGGGTTTGGGGGAAAGAAGTACATGTTTAACTCTATAGTTTTGCCATCTTAGAGTAAGTAGACATGATGACTCCTGAGAAATGCTTTGCTTTTGGTAAACTGCTGAGAATGAGGTGGAGTTCAGTGTAAAGATATACTGGGTGCAGCAAGAGTATTTCACTTCAATTGCTGTAACGATAAATGTTATCCGAAATGCTGTTGGAATCTTTAATTCTTTAAGTTTAATTTAACAGTAATAACAATTGTTACATTTGTTATAGCTCCTTTCACATTGGGAGGACCCCTCAAATACTTCACAGAATTTACTGTAAAGTGCTACCACCGTGTATTTTGAAGGTGAAATCTAACATTTGAAATTTTGTTCTGTTCCAGATTAACTACAAAGACAAATATATCAAAGAAGGAAAAAGACATCACTACAATCCTCAGGAAAGTGCCTCTTTCAGACAATTGCAAACAGCAAATGCTCTTGCCAGCAATGTGAGCACCCTTTATAGCAATCAATTTCGTTCTCTTCCCTTCTGTAGCTCAGGAATTTGGCATAACGTTTGCGCTTTATATTGCTTGAGAGAATTCCTTAATGGGATCTAAAATGCATCATTCTAGTTTGTGACTGAAATTGCGCAATTTTCTCACAAAAGGAAATTGAGCCAGATGGGTATGAAATACTCCAGGTCACTGCTAATGACAGACAAGCCTGCCCTCTTGTCAATAAGACAAGGAATGGGACACTGGTCACTGAGGGCTGTAATTCTTCCTATTTGGCTGTTGTTAACCATGCAGGCTCTAATGGGATGGTTGTTCTCAAAATCGACAAAAAGCAGGAAAGCTTGTCAGAAAGTGCTCTCAATGGCAAGCTATTTGGTTTCAGTTGGTTAGATGCTAGTAGTACCCCAAACCTTGGCTCTTGCCATTCTGTGCCTAATACTCTGTGGAATTAAGTAAGCAGGATGCTTCCCTCCAGGGGAATAGTGCGCATTCCATTCTAGAAACACTGACATTTCCATGTGTATGTGGACCTCTGCCTGGTTAGGACATTCTTAAATATGGTGCTGTGTTTCTGCATGTATTTTTCACAGAAACGTTAAAAGGAATCGGAACCCAAATCTCTATTAATACTCAAGCTTTTCTTATGTTTTCAGGTAAAATATAAGCTTGATCTTCAAAGAATAAATCGCACAGCCTCGCATTTGCCTAATTTGTTGCATCTGGAGCATGCGTTAACAGCCAGCAAACTGCAAAGTGCTGTGAGTTTTTCATAACTTTGCTGTACTGTATTTTTTTGAAGCTGTAAATAATTGTGCAGCAGTCTGGCTGCAAAATGTACAAAGCAAATTAAACTGAAGGGTAAGAGCAAAATTCTTGAAAATGGGTAACATTGCTCATTTTGATGAGCACAAATCTGTGCCAAAGTTTATCATTAGCATAACACAATAATCCATCCACTACTAATTTACATGCACATTGGAGGAAGATTTTCCTGAAAGCTGATGAGTTATTTGCAACTTGCAAAGGGAAAGAACTTGGTGATGCTGACAACTGAAGTGTGGGAAGATGTGATTTGTAAATTGCATGCTTCATTTCAGTAATAGGTTTTTAAAGCCATCAGAAACCAATTGGAAAACAAATCATATCTAGTTTGAAATAAACTAATTGCTTAGTGTGTGTTTGAATCAGACTCTTATCAGTTGTGTGCAGAAGCTTGGGAGTTGTGAGTTTTTTCATTTCCTGCCCTTACATTGGGCTGTGGAATGTTCTGGGAAAGGGTTAACGATCCAATGACAGTTTCTGCCAATGTTACCTTTTCACCTGAGGGAGAGGTTAAAAGGAAATTCTTCACTGTGAAGTTTTGAAGGGGTAGAATTTATTACAACAAGTGGTTATTGAGGCTGGGTCAATAGAATCATTCAAAAAGGGACTGGATAGGCACTTGAGAAGTAAAAAAAAGAAAGGATATAAGGAAGAGCTAGAAAGTAGGATTAATCAAAATTGGTGACTTAAAAATACAGAGGATTCAAACATCAGGCTGACACCTCTAAAGAAACGTGAAGGTCAACTACTCCATGACTGTGGATCCATTGAAGAAACTAAACACTTTGCAAAATAAAAAGCCACAAAACCAGGACATTGTTTTTTCAACTTCAACGGATATCTTGCTCAGCGTGCTAAGTCCTGGCGACGTTCTCCTATTTAAATGCAGAGGTATCAGTGGCTCAGACATGATGAGCCAAATGGCCTCTTTCTGTGGTGAATGTTTCCGTGTTTCTGGTCAACAATCCTTCCGATGAATTGTTCATTTAGCTGCTTGTTAGCTGGATTTTGCTGGTGTAAATGATTGCTGGATTTGCCTCCAAAAACAGTCATTGCACTTGATGTTAATTATACTTTTTTTCTCAAATATTTAAATGTAATATATACTATAAAAATGCATGGGTTTTCCTTTTTAGTGAAATATATAGATTGATTTGCCGGCTCTGAAGTAGTGGAACAAAGGGTTTAACATTAGAAATGTATTTTTTTCTTGAAATAAAAACAGAAGTAACTGGGAGCACTCAGCAGGTTGGGCAGCATCTATGGAGAGAGAAAAGTTTCAAGTCAATGAGTTTGAGTCAACTCACTTTCCTCTCTCCATAGATGCTGCCTGACCTGCTGAGTGTTCCCAGCGATTTTTGTTTTTATTTCAGATTCCCAGCATCTGCAGTATTTTGCCTTTTACTCTTTTCTTGATGTTGATTGTTTGGCTTTCAAAGTATTTCATTGCTTTTCCAATTTGTTTGTATAAGTGGATGAACCACCAGTCCTAGGCCATTGCCAATACTGCTCTGAAACTGTCTTCGGTGACCCTTCCCACATAGAAGCACCGTGCTGGTCTTATATTTCAGGCAGGTTACCTTAAGGAGGATTTCAAGCATTGACCTTGATTGGTATGAGCGCTAAGCAGTAGCTGCTGCTAAAGCTTCACAACTCCAACTAGTGGATCTGACACTCGATCAGTAAGAGTGTATCAGAAGAACGGTGGCAATACTCTAACACGTTTGATGTTGAGTTGTACTGTTCACTATATAGCTTGAGGGAGTTCTTGCTGTTGGTGTTATTCAATTGTGGGAGTGTCACAGTAGAGCGCAATCCTTTCCTTTTTTAGGTTCCCAAATTCTATCCAGTCTTATCTGGTAAGACCAATTCATCTTAAAATTTATGGAAAATTCTTCAGTTCAGTCTTAAATTGGAAACTTGTCTTCATAAGAACCCTAGAGATCGGTCTTCCTGACTACGACTGAATTGAAGAATTTTTCCCCAATTCTACGTGATCTTAAGTTTTAAGATAAACTAATCTTGCAGGCAAAAAACTAGTTAGAATTTCAGGCATCTCACATCTACAGCAGCAGCAACAACAACAATATGCATTTAAATAACACCTTTCATATAGGAGAATGTCTTGAAACACTTTACAAAGACAGAGTTGTAGCTATGAAGGAAATGTGGGGCGGTGAGGGTGGGTGGTGTGGTGGGGAGGCAGACGAAGGAGCTGAAAAAGAGAGTTCTTTAGAAGGGTTATGAAAGCACAGAAGGAGAGAGTGGGGTGGAGGGGTTTCAGTAGAGTTCCAGGGAGTAGGACAAAGCAGCTGAAGTAACAGAACAATGTTATTGAATTCTACTTTGGAGCTAAATTCTATACTAATGTCTGACAAATTTCCTTTTAGTATGAATACAAGAAACAATTTGAAAAAAGTAAAGGTCATTATCACCTGGCATTGGATACTTCAGAACAATTGCACCATAAGGAAAATAAAATACTCCAAAGTCAGGTACAGTAAGCTCGAGATGCTACTAAATAGAAAAAAGCTTTGNTTTTTTTAAACATGGCTTTTGTCAGAGTCTTGAAACTTGAATCATTTTGTACACGACAGGTCAAGTACAAGGAAGAGTATGAAAAATCTAAAGGAAAATCAATGCTGGAAGTTATGGAGACTCCAAATTATTTAGCAACAAAAGAGGCACAGAATCTGCAGAGTGAGGTGAAGAAGTGCAGATTTTTTCAAATTTTGGACATTATCCATTACTGTCACTTATTTATGCAGAATGTCATTTTTACACTACACTGACAATGAGGCAGAATGTACTGTAAAGTGAATTGACTGTATATTTTGTGGGCGAAACATGGCAATCAATTGCGCACAGCAGTGCCCCACAAACAGTCATGGATTGAGTGACCAATTTTTTTTTTTTTTTTAAGCAATTATTAACCCCGGAAAAGCGATCCGCCAATGGACTAACAACCGTGTTCCTACTTACTGCTAGGTAAACAGAGGCGTGTAGAGTAAGGAAACGAGAGTTTGCTAGGGGAAAGAGGACCAAGGTCCATCTGGTTCACCATTCACCATCCTGGTAGACGCTTGACATGTTGAGTCCCAAACTATTCACTGTTTCCCAAGATATTATTTTCTAGCATAAATCTATGTAATTTATTCTTCAAACAAACAACATTTTCTGCTTCCACTGTCTCCCTTGGGAGCCTGTTCCATAAGTTTACTACTCGCTCACTGAAGTAGTGTTTCTGCAGATTTGTTCCGAATTTCCCTCCTTTATTTGCAGGCCATGTCCTCTGGTTCTACTGTTCAGTACAAGATAAAACAGCTTATCATGGTCTACATTATCTATTCCCTTCAGAATATTAAAGACTGTAATCATATTGCCCCCCAACCTTCTCTTCTCAGTTAATAGACCTAATCAACTATAAAATTAGTTATTTCACAAAATAGTTTTGTCCTAGATCAAGAATCATTGCTGACAAAAGTTAAGACTAAATATACTATAATGATTCCTGAAGCTTCCACCGGTTTACTATTTTTGCGATTCAAGCAGGAAATGCTGATTCCTTCAAACGCAGATTTTATTTTAGGAAATAATATTATGGAATAGAGTACATAGGTTGTTTGGGACATAAGTGCATGCGACCGCCAGGCAGGTGGAAGATGAACTAGTTGGACCTTGGCCTTTTTTTTTGTCTCGCTTTTGTTATGTTCTTATGCTCTTATGAAACTGATCCAAATAGTAATGGCAGACTGTTTTTCATTTACATGTCCACTGACAAATATGGTTCGTTCTATATTGAGCTGAATAAACAAATGTTTGGAATTTGAAGGTTTTCGCAGTATACATGAAAGCAGATGTCCAATGCAAAACAACATCCAGAGATACCTCACTTACTGTGCTTGTGAACGATTGTCACATCTTTTGTCACGAGAATGAAATATGTAAACTGCACATGGAAACATTGACACGTTTCATATTGTGCCAATCATCAGAAGGAATACAGAAGAGATTATGATGAGGCAATCAAAGGAAGAATGTCGGTGGATCTTGATATGACCCCGAGCTACTTACATGCCAAACATGTCTCCAGTCTTCTTAATGAGGTAACTCTCACCCTTGTTATTCATATACAATGGCACCTCTAGTTAATGCAACTGAGGAAGCATATCTGATGCACAGATGAATGTGTAAGATGTCAAGCAATCAAACATTTATAGATACTGTTTGTTTCTGCCATAATAGACAGAAATATATTTGATAGATGTAGTTGTTGTTAAACTTGTGATATACACATATTTTGATCCATAAAACCTGTTTCTTTGACCATGCTTTTGGTCCGTACCTTCAAATCCTCCCTCTTGCCCTCAATGATCCTTATTATCTTGATGAAGGACTTCGGCAATCATTCTGTGTGGTATATTAATGTTGCTTGTTCTTTTCATTGCATTTTTGCCACCATGGCTTCCTCAATAAAAAGTGAGGGCAGCTTATTAAGTTCCATCTTTCTGTGTCTAATACACATGCATATCAGCAGATGGGAATTTTATTTGATAGATATTGTGGTCTGCATTGATGGTTTTTGCCTCCTTTGACCTTGAGCAAAGCTCCATCTAGTGGCTTGGACCGTGCCTTCAGCTCCCGTCTCGACTCTCTACCCCCTCCTCGCTCCCTCCCTTCCCTCCCCTCACCCTGACCATTTCCCCCCTGCTCGGGTCCTGACCCAACTGTACAGCGCCTTGGGACGTCCTCCTGACGTGAAAGGCGCTCTATAAATGAAATCTTGTTGTTGTTGGAAAGAATGGACAAAACCTAACTAAACAAATGACAACTGAATTTGAAATTGGAATAAACAGATGTATTTTTTGTTGGCTTGGTGTGCCAAATATTCATCAAACCCTACCTTATAATAAAATTCAACTTTTTCTTGTTTACATTATTGTTTACATTATTGCTAAATCATGCCTTAAAGTGACAACGTTCTATTTTCAGAAAGAATATAGAAAAGAATGGGAAGAAAATATTAAAGGAAAAGGGCTGGCTCTGGCGGGAGACACACCTGACAGGGTTCGAGTCAGAAATGCATCCCAGATATTAAATGAGGTGAGCGTACACCATCCCAAAATGATTCAAACATTCCTGAATTCAACATATTATAACACGATGATGGCAGACTGTCCAAGCCAACTGGATACTCAACACATGGAGACAGAATTGGTCAACCAGAATTTGTTAAATATGAAATATAATACAAAATTACATTTGTATAGCACCTTTCACATTGGGAGGACATCCCAAGGTACGAAACGGGAAAAGCCTCAGTACCCTCCAGGATCCCTAGCCGGGATTAGCAACACTTGCTACCTCTAACAGACCAGGAGGGATGCAGACACCTGGGTTTGCAGTGAGTGGCTCTGTGCCTTGCTCTCACTAACAGTTACCACCTCCATGCTCTCTCAGGCATCAAGTACAATAGCACCGATCTGGCCTTGAAGCTAGACCTCATGCATCTGCTGTTCTACGCAATTGAGAAGGCATAGTGCCAGAGGAAAAGAGGACAGGGGGTGGTGGGGGTGAGGGGAAGAAGGTCGGTTTACAGCTTTTATACCACAAGTCTCTGTGCCCCTTCCCTCTGCCAGGCAGAATCCAAGGTCCCTTTGGAGAGTCCCTTCACTCAGCAGGCCAGTTCCAAAGCCTGGTATAATGTCTATCCAAATGCCACCTTTTGTTTCATAGTGAAAGATTATTAATTCTAGATACTAATTTCACTGTTGCAGAGAGAGTACAAAAAGGATTTTGAAACCCAAATTAAGGGCAAAGGAATGGAACTAAGTGCAGATGTTCTTGATATTAAACGTGCCATGAAAGCATCAGAAGTTGCCAGTCAGGTCAGTGCACATTAAGGGATATTTGTGTCTTCACGGTGGTTTTACTTATATTAACCCTTTGACCTGCTCACTGTTGTGATAATGCAAATAGCCTTATTGCAGATTTTTTTTGGTGCTTAAGGTGTTAATTATGGCAAATTCTTATGATAAATATAAAATAATTTCGCTAAAATTTTTGTTTGTTTACAAAAAGTTAACCCTAAGATTATTTTCTTTTAATGAAACATGACACAAGGGAAATAGAGCGCTGCCTAAATTATAGCTGACGGCATAAGTTTCCCACTCTCAAAAAAATGGCTGACTTGTGGTTCTTTAGGTTGCTTCTGAAGTCACCTCCTGCCTTCGTTCCTCTGGGTCTGGCATCCTCCTTGTCCCCCGAGTCCTCCGCTCCACCCTCGGCGGCCGTGCCTTCAACCACTATGCCCCGAGGCTCTGGAATTCCCTTCCTCCCTCCCTTCGCCTTGTTCCTTCTCTTCCTATTTTCAGGTCCCTGCTGAAGACCTTTCTTTTTGACCGCGCCTTTGGTCACCTTCATCCCCCTTCCCCTGGCTCGGCCCCGGGATCCGTTACTGTGAAGTGCTCTGAGACGCCGTCCGGTGTGGAGGGCGCTATGTAAATCCAGGTTGTTGTTGTTGTCGTTCTGCGTTGTGTGCAGGAAGCACTGCTGATGTTACCTCAGATGCTCTGTGCATGTGTGAGATGCATAGGAACCATCATTGACAGCAATCCTTGCACGTAGTGCCCAGGAAGTGACACCAATAATAATAATAATGCTCCTTGCATTTGATGTAGCGCCTTATGACGTCTCCTAGATGTCTCAAAAAGCTTCACGGAATATACTGTAAACTGAATTGACTGTATATTTTGTGGGAGAAATACGGCAGCCAATTGCGCACAGCAGTGTCCCACAATGGTGACCTGATGACCCAGAAGTAGCCATTGTTTGGTGCCTCACTGTGCTCTAATGAGGTTCTCAAGTATGAACAAAATTATAGGTTAATGCCATTTCTAAGCAAAAACTCAAAGCTAAGTATAGGTTTAATATTTGCAACAATTCTCTATCAATTCTTAACATAACTAGTTTTCTTACTTTTAATATTTGTATGTTACTGAGAAATGCAAGTATGTAATTCAATGTAATGAGCCAACCTTTGTGATTTCTGAATGCCTATGGCAACAAAGAACTAAAATCTCGGTATTTATTTTCATTTTTTCTCTGTCTTAGGCAATGTACAAGCAGGTTTCTGACTTGGGTCAAAGTAAATATGGAACTGTTACCAATACACCAGAGTTGATGCATGCTGCACACATAAAGGATATTTACAGTCAGATAGGCAATAATCAGATTGAGTTCTGCTTGAGAATTAAAGTCAAAACATTTCAGGGGATTTATCTTACAAAGATTTACCTTGTAAACATATATTTTGCTGCCCACAGAAAAAATACAAGGATGAAGCAGAAAAAATGCTCAGTACTGTTACCACACTGGCAGATACTCCAGAAATGGAGAGAGTTAAGGAAAACCAAAAAAATGTCAGTATGGTATGTATAATTTGTTTCTTTTATTAATGCCTGCAGAAGTAAGAGTTAATTTTCTGATCTGCTCTTCTTTTTTAGCTCTATACATTCATCCACAACATGACTTTCAATGAAATGTGATCGAAACATGGGTTTAGTTCCCACATGTATGCAGATTGGACCAAGCTCTAATCTTCCGCGTTTAGCCTTTGACTCCAGAACCATTACTATTCTGACTGACTGCATGTCAGATATCAAAGGCCCAGATTTCCACCTTTTAGCCTATTAGACCTTTTAATCTTAAAATTTAAGCTTGTGCAATATTGTGAAAAAATCTTAAATTCAGTCTTACTCTAGAAATCTGTTCTTTTTAAGAATTACAGAAAAGAACTCGCTGCCTGAGGCAGTGGTAGAATCAGATAGTATTGATGCATTCAAGAGTAAGCTAGACCGTCACATGAGGGAGAGGGGGATGTGAGGGAGCAAGTGAATGATTGGAGACTCGTGGAGTATGAACATGGACTGGTTGGGCTGAATGGCCTGTTTCCAGGCTGTACATTCTTTGTAAATCTTCGTAAATTAAGAATAATGTTTGTTTCTATTCTGCAATCTTCTTATGGTTTCTGTTGGATAAAGTTTGTTTTCTTGAACTCCACGTGGTCCTGGTTCGCATCTGGAATATTGTGTGCAGTTTTGGTCTCCTTATCTAAGAAAGAATATACTCGCCTTAGAGGGGGTGAAACATAGTTACTAGGTTAGTTCCTGGGAAGATGGGGTTGACCTACGAGGACAGGTTGAGTAAACTAGGCCTATATTCTCTAGAATATAAAAGAATTAGAGGTGACCTTATTGAAACCTATAAGATTCTTATGTGTCTTGACAGGGTAGATAGTGTGAGACTGTTTCCCCAGGTTGGAGAATCTAAAACTAGGGGTCATTGTCTCAGGATTAAAGGTCAGCCCTTTAGAACTGAGTTTATAAAACATTTCTTCACACAGAGGGTAGTGAATTTATGGAATTCTCTACCCCAGAAGGCTGTGGATTCTCAGTCATTGAACATATTCAAGACTGAGATCGATAGTTTTTTAAAAAAAACTAAAGGAATTAAGGGATATGGGGATAGACGAGTAAATAATAATATAATAATAATAATCCTTGCATTTGATATAGCGCTTTTCACGTCGGGAGGACGTCCCAAAGCGCTTCACAGAACACACTGTAAAGTGAATTGACTGTATATTTGTGGGCGAACGCGGCAGCCAATTGCGCACAGCAATGTCGCACAAACAGTCGCAGATTGAAAATGACCAATTTATTATTGTTTTGTTTTTTTGGAGGGATTATTATTAGGCATGTGGAGTAAGGAAACTTGCCCAAGGTTTCGCCCTGCCTGGAATTGAACTCAGGTCTCTCGCTTGCAAAGCGAGTGCTCTAACCACTGAGCTACAGGACTCCAAATGGAATTAGGTTAGAAGATCGACCATGATTTTATTAAATGGCGGGGCAGGCTTGAGGGGCCAAATGGCCTACTCCTGCTCCTATTTTTTATGTTCTTATGTTCATCTGCAGAGACGATGTTAGAAGTGCATTAGGCTACCTTCATGCTAACAACAGTAGTAAGACAATAATAATAAATAATAGTCTTTGGATTTAATATAGCACCTTATGATATCAAAATCACTCAAAGTGCTTTGTAGTAATAAATTACTGTTAAATGTAGTGATTGTATTTGTAGGTGAATGCAGCAAGCAATTTATGCACAGCAATAATAATAATACTTGCATTTGATAGAGTGCCTTATCACATTGTTGAGATGTCGCAAAGCTCTTCACAGAATAAAGTGAAGCGAATGTATATTTTGTGGGCGAAACAAGGCAACCAAATGCGCACAGCTGTTTTGGGAATCTTAACAGCCTTTGGTTCTGCCTTCTGATTGCTCTCCTTATAATAATCCTTGCATTTGATACAGCGCCTTATCACTTTGTCGAGATGTTTTGTGGTGATTGTATCCAATCCTCTCCTCAGTGATCACTGAGTCTTATTGAACCTCTTCTGCTGCCAAGTTCCTGATCTGCTGCCAAGTTCCTTCATTTGTTGAAATTGTATCTAGCCACTTAGCAACCTCTTCCGAGGTCACTCTCCAGGTCCTGTGAGACAGGTTGAAAGGGGTGGGATGACGCAGAAAGAAAATTCAGCCAACTTTTGAATATTTAAAGCTTTCAAGCTATGATGGTGCCCATAATTAGGCCCTCTCCAGACCTTCTTACTTTGGTTTCAAACATTTCTGTTAAAATTTATAAACAGCCAATTTTATTATTTTCTGCTTGCTTGGGTGCTTATCGGTGAATTATGAGGAATTACATGTTTGGAAACCTTGATGTATCACTGACAGTAAATGTAGAAGCTATATTTTGGCTCATGATACATTTCCAGCTAGGCAATGAGTTAATCCAAATAACATTGCATAACTATCAAATGCATAAAAATGTAGTTCGAATGATTTTATTGTTTGTGTTTCTTTTTTCACTCGTATTAATCCAGTTCCATTTTTCTGTTTCAGATCCAGTACACTGCAGACTTAAAATCACTTAAAGGCAAGGTAATAGCTGTAATTGAAACTCCTGAAATCCGCCTTGCTAAAGAGAACTGCATGAAGTTCAGCAATGTAAGTTATTGTGGAGAAGAATTATTAACGTTTCAAGAAATAGGCATTGGAGTCTTAGTTTACTAAAAGAAAAGATCAATTGGATAATGTTTGACTTTCACGACTTATAATAAAACTACTAATAATAATCATCCTTGCATTTATTATAGCGCTTTATAACATCTTTTAGATGTCTCAAAGTGCTTCACAGAATAAACTGTAAAGTGAATTGACTGTATATTTTATGTGGAAACACAGCAACCCACAGCAGTATCCCACAAACAGTCGTGGATTGAGTGACCAAATTATTATTTTTTTTAAAAAAAATTTGAAGGGATTATTACTTCTGGAAAAGCGATCTGCCAATTGACTAACAACCGGGTCGCTACTTACTGCTAGGTAAACAGGCATGTGGAGTAAGGAAACTTGCACAATTGTTTCGCCAGCCTGGGAATTGAACCCAGGTCCTCTCGCTTGTGAGACGGGTGCTCTAACCACTAAGCTACAGGACTCAATAATTATCATTTTATTATGACAACATATCAATCCTGTAAGGTCATGGGCATTCATTCTAACCTCTCTTTGTACTTGACTAGTTAATCATGAAAGAATAAACTCACGCAGACAGGTTATGATCTTCAGTCAACCTAAAAGCAATATGATATGTAAAAACAAACAAACGAAAAATGTAATTAATAACTGCAGACAGTCATGTAGAAGAAATGCAAATATTTTTTCTCGGGTGTTGCTAGTGTGCTGTCAGACTTTGTTTTATGGACCATCAAAGCATTCTGTTGTCCACAGCTGGAATCCTGTCCCAATTCCATGCTCTACTCATGCATACAAGTGCCCTGGGAGCTGACATTATCTACCATGACAGGAATAAGGCCAGTGTCCTTTACTAGAGGAAAAAAAAGGAAAGATTGGGAATTTGGTGTCAGGTTGATATTGTTATCATCCCATTTTCTTGCAATGGCCATGTGAAACCTGAATATCAGGCGATATTTACTATTTTACCATTTCTCCCAGTCGTCAGGTTCCAATTATTTTTGTTGGGGGAGTGAGGGATAGATAAGAATCCTTTTGTACATTTGAGTATTAGCTATATGGTGGTGGTGGCTGTTTTTGATATTAGCTTTATTCATGGTTCTTACCTGATTATTATTATTGTTTATGCATCAAATAACTATTGAAGCTCCCTGTTCACAACCCCACAGAACGTAGGGGAGTGGGTTAAGCTGGATTATTGTCTATTGGAATGGGAGTGGAGAGTGTAAGACTCTTTCTGGTTGTGGAAAGGTAGAGGCATTTTATTTGGATTCTTTTTGTAACTCCACCCTCCCCAAAAGAAAAACTGAGATTTTTTTTAATGTGAAGAAGGGGGTGAAGAGACTGCTATCATGAGTTATGGTACCTATTTGCTCCCACGTGTTCAATGTTAGTTGCTCATAGAAAAATACCTCTTCATGTGAATAAAACCTACGGCAGTTAACCTTAGAAAGGAATTGTTCCATTAACCCAAACATTAGATTGATGACGATGAACCTGAAAACATTGAGATTGATTCCCAAAATTAGAGGAATGAGCTAGGAGCAATGATTAGGTACATTAAGAGATATTTCAGAAGGGGACCTCATATTAGATTTTAAACAGAATTAAGAAAATGAACACAAAAATTCTTTCAAATATGCCAGGACAGCAGAATAGATTCAGGGATGCAAAGAGCAGTGTGTGGGTGACCACGACGTCATTCAAAAAAAAAGGACTTTTTCAGAGGGTAAATAATGACTGGATTGGGTAACTGGGGAGGGTTCTTGAGGCTAGGGCGCTGCACTCATTTAAGAAACAGCTTGATGCTGCAATGGGAGGATGATAGGGTGGATATTTTAGAATGATGGGACCAATTGGGCCAAAGGACTTTATTCATCCAAACAGAACTTGTGATCTTGTGATTGCCAAGTCCAGCCTTTTTACAAACTTATTAAAATAGAACATTTCTGTGTTTGACAAGGTGAAATATAAAGAAGAAGTTGGGCAAGGAACAGCAATTCCAGATCCTTTTGACTTAAAACGAGTCAAAGAAAATCAGAAGAACATCAGTTCGGTGTGTAAACGATTAAATATATAAATCAATTTCTAAAACGACAGTATTAATGGATGTAATTACAGAAATTTGAAAGCATTACTTCAAAATACTTAAATTTTTTCCACTGGAGTCCAAACAACTTAAACCGTATAGTTTTCTATTGAAAGTACTGTCTAACAAGCTTTCCTGCTGTTTGCCCAGCTAGGACCATCCTATTATCAGGGCTTTGACTTACAGGGTTAACAGGAGCTGAGTGGGAAGAATCCTTCCCACAGTGACTGGTCTGCCCTTTCAGGTTCTGCCGATGAGCCAGGCTGGCTGTGGTGTTATCAGCAATGCCCTGGAGTACTGCAGATTCACTTGGCTCAGGAACTGGACTACCGAGATCGCCCCAGAGGGTTGACTCGATTCCAACATTCCATTGCCAGGCATGCTATTTTGGAGCCAGATCAACTCCAAGGAACCTACACTTAACGCCATCACACACACACACAGATGATAAATGAGAAAGATCAAACAGGCCGATGGGCTTTTCTTTCCAAACAGAACTTGTGCTTGCTAAGTCTCGCCTAATGAGCGTGACTGTTTTTTAAATCTATTAAAGTAGAACATTTCTGTGTTTGACAAGGTGAAATACAAAGAAGAAGTTGGGCAAGGAACAGCAATTCCAGATCCTTTTGACTTAAAACGAGTCAAAGAAAATCAGAAGAACATCAGTTCGGTGTGTAAACGATTAAATATATAAATCAATTTCTAAAATGGCAGTATTAATGAATGTAATTATAGAAATTTGAAAGCATTACTTCAAAATACATACATTTTTTCCACTGGAGTCCAAACAGCTAAAACCATATAGTTTCCAATTGAAAGCACTGCCTAACAAGCTTTCCTGCTGCTTGCCCAGCTAGGAACACTCTACTGTCAGGGCTTTGACTTACAGGGTTAACAGGAGCTGAGTGGGAAGAATCCTTCCGGCAGTGACTGGTCTGCCCTTTCAGGTTCTGCCGATGAGCCAGGCTGGCTGTGGTGTTATCAGCAGTGCCCTGGAGTACTATAGATCCACTTGGCTCAGGAACTGGACTACCGAGATCGCCCCAGAGGGTTGACTTGATTCCAATATTCCATTGCCAGGCATGCTATTTTGGAGCCAGTCCAGCTCCAAGGAAACTATGCTTAAATCCCCCCCCCCCACACCCCCCTACACACATGCGGATGATAAATGAGAATGATCAAACAGGCCGATGAGCCCTTTTTTCCAAACAGAACTTGTGATTGCTAACTCTTGCCTAATGAGTGTGACTTTTGTTTACAAAAGCTATTAAAGTAGAACATTTCTGTGTTTGACAAGGTGAAATACAAAGAAGAAGTTGGGCAAGGAACATCAATTTCAGATCCTTTTGACTTAAAACGAGTCAAAGAAAATCAGAAGAACATCAGCTCGGTGTGTAAACAATTAAATATATAAATCCATTTCTAAAAAGGCAGTATTTATTAATGAATGTAATTATCATTTGAAAAATAATTAGATGTGCATCAATCTTTTCCACTCGTTAAAGCCATATCATTTAAAAAAAATCTGAACCAAATGTATGAGGCAGGCTCAACATGAGGTGTGTTTGTCTCACCATAACAACAACGACTTGAATTTGTATAGCGGACTTCACTTGGATAGAGACTTAGAGTGTTTAATGTTAGCAGAGCTTGATTAGGGGAGCGGGTGGAACTGGATTACAGTATTTTGTAAGAGGAGTAGATAGAACTGGATTACAGTGTTGTAGAAGGGGAGCGGATGCAATTGGGTTGATTGTGGAATGGTAGAATCATTTTATTTGGATTTTGCATAGCTATTTTTTTCAACATCTATTAAAGTAGAACATTTCTGTGTTTGACAAGGTGAAGTACAAAGAAGAAGTTGGTCAAGGAACAGCAATTCCGGATCCTTTTGACTTAAAACGAGTCAAAGAAAATCAGAAGAACATTAGCTCCGTGTGTAAACAATTAAATATATAAATCAGTTTCTAAAAAATGGTATTTATAAGTGAATGTAATTATAGAATTATTATTATTGAAAGGATTACTTAAAAAATCATTCATCTTTTCCACCAGTATAATAGTAATAATCCTTGCATTTGGTATAGCGCCTTATCACGTTTTAAAGATGTCTGAAAGGGCTTCATAGAATATACTGTAAAATGAATTGACTGTATATTTTGTGCGCAAAATATAATAATACAATTTTTAAAAATCTACACCAAGTAAATGAGAAAGTATTAACAAGACATGTTTGTCCCAATAGATCAAGTATAAAGAGCTGGTTGGCAAGGGCACTCCCGTCAGTGTTACTATTGAAATGGAACGAGCCAAGAAGAATCAAGCAAATGTCAGCTCGGCAAGTCCTCGTATCCTTTTGTTTCTGACAATCTCATTCTGAGTTTTTGCTCAACACAATAATAACACGCATTTATATAGCTTCCCTCATGCAGGCTAGCGTGCCACATTGCTGGACAGTGGCAGAGCATGACACTGAGCCGGTGGGAGGGGGAGGTGGCTTGAGCCGGTGGGAGGGGGAGGTGGCTGTAGGCACGGATGAAGACGAAGGTCTTCAGGTGCGATCTGAAGATGGGGAAGGATGGGGTAAGGCGGAGGGACAGAGGAAGAGTGTTCCAGAGTTTCAGGGTGTGTTGCCGCATCATGCAAAGTATAGATGACAATGTTGCAGCATCCTGATAAGTACAGACGATAGAATTACAACAAGCACCCAGGTGAACATAGCTCCCTTCACCCAGGTGTGCCAGGCTGCTCATTCCATTCCAGACACAGGGAAATTTGTATGAGGCACACATATATGCAGCTCAGTCTGGTTTGTATACTCTTAAGCATGGTGGTGATTTCTACATGTGCTAGACACCTGGCTGACTAAAACAATTTTTTATTTGAGTTGATTACATGAACATTTTGAAACTGGCCTAGTTGATTTCATGTAACTTTAAAGTTGCAAAATTGATTTTGCTTATATTTGTTTCCTGCAGATTCAGTACAGGTATGACCTGAAGGAAATGAAAGGCAGACCGGTTCTCCTTTTAGACACACCAGAAATGAAACGTGTCCGTGAGACACAAAACAATATCTCCATGGTACAGTGGAAGAAGCTCCCCAGAGCAGCACATAGAAGAGCTGGCACTTGCGCACTGATTTTAGTACTGACTGCACTTGACAGTAATAAACTTGGGTAAACTAATAGAAACCCATGTGTGGCAAAGCTGTTTCCAAATTAACACCCAAGGCATGTTTTTGTGCAAGAGAGTTTTTAAACCATTCTCTATGGATGAGATCGTCAAAAGAATTCATTTTTTTTAATAAACTTTGAATGAAAACCTTGTCTGTTTTTTTGTTTGTGTCACAAGCACTGCTTGCAGAACCAAAGCATTCACACCTGATCCATTGCACACAGTCTGAGAGACTGCACGTATGAAGTGTGTATGCCTGGTGAGCTCTGTGTGGTTGTGTATTAGCATATCTGACTGCATGCCTGCATTTTGGGTATGAAAATTAGCATTAAATATATGTGTAGGTATACTTTAATATTTTCGATAAGATAAACTGTGATATGTTCACTATGGGAAGAAATAATAATTGTCCACATTATCAACAATTTCTGTTTTATTTTGTTAACAGATTAAATATCACGAGGACTTTGAAAAGACAAAGGGCAGGGGCTTCAATCCAGGGCTTGATGACCCTGCAATAGACCAGGCACGGAAGAACACTCAGTTTGTGAGTGATGCTGCCTACAAAGGAGTGCATCCTCACGTGGTGGAGATGGAGAAAGGCAGACCTGGTGTCGTGGGTGGTAAGTTTTCTGATTTTGAAGCTTGTGATTATCTCCCTCCGTTGGTGGTTACTAATCACTTCAGCTAGTAACCTCTGGAATTTTATCCCTGTAGCCCTATTCCCTATACCCCTCCATCTTGCTAGGCCTTTAAATCCCATTTACAACCTACCTTTTTGACTACTATGGTCATCTCCCCTCTCCACCTTCTCCCTTGCTAATGTATTTGTGAAGCTCTTGAGATGTTACCTTACGCAGAGAACGCAATAGAAATGTGCAAAATTTTTATAACCGCAGAATAACATTTACAAGGCAGGGAAAGTGTGAGATGTGTTGTCATAATTATCACCATGGGATTGGGACAATCTTGTGGAGAGGGCGCATTTGGTGCTTTCCCCCAGATACTAGCCTAAGCATAATTTGAAAAAGCAACAAATTGAAGCTAAAGTAAAATGATTAGCAGTTAGCAATTTAAAACAAATCCCTGTTGCTCTGTTAAAATTAAAAATGGTGCTCACTCAATTCTGAAAAGGCAGAAAAGGCTGAGGGAGAACCATTCTTCAAGGGGAAGGGCTTTAAACTTGTATTTCTTTTTGCCCCTAATGAAGTGATTATTTCAGCAATAATTATATCACAGACAGCTCTCCCCCTCCACCCCTACTGAATAGAAGCTCAAAACTTAGCTTCCCTGTTAAATGTCACATCCTGCAGGTAAACATCATGCATCGTTACTTCTCTGGAGATGCATCAATCCTGTTTCCATTCAGCTTTAAATGTATCCAACTTAAAGAAGCTCTGTATTGTTTTTAATGTAAGGTACAGATAAAACACTTCTTTTTTTAAAAAAATTCAATTATAATGGGTTTAACTTCTCTATAGTGAGTTTTTAATTAAAATAAATTTTCACTAGCCTTGGGAAAAGGTGTGCCATGTTTTAATGCCATGAAGATTGATTCTGTCCAGAATATCATAAGAGATTAAATAGGAATTTGGGCTGCATTTTAGTTGCAGTATGTGGCAAAGAGGTACAGTTGGGAATGATTGATAGCTGCTGGTGTGTGACTTTCATTTTGGGAAGCATAATAAGGAGAGCAAGTATACTTTAGGTGATAAAACTTTAAAAAGGACGTGGAAGAGATGAGGGATCTAAGGGTTAACATACATAAATACTTAAAGGTGGGAAGGCAGGTGGGAAAAGTTGTCAAGAAAGCAAATAGAATCCTAGGTTTTATAAATAGTTACAGAAAATATAACCAAAGAGCTAATGCTAAACCTGTATATATCTTTAGTTGGATCGGAGTTAGAATATTGTGTCCAGTGTTGGGAGGATGTCAAGGAATAGATATATACAAGATTTTGATGGAGCCAATAGCGAGAAATGATTTCCCTAGTTAGTGAATCGGTGACTAGAGGGCATCAATTTACAATAGCAAGCAAATGGGGAATTTGGGAGAATGTTTTTCACACACAGAGTGGTTAGGACATGGAATTCTCTGCCAGGAGTGGTGGTTGATGCAGAATCCATATTAACTTTCAAAAGGGAACTAGAAAGATATCCAGAGAGTAGTGAACTACAGGGGTTAGGAGAATGGGACTGAAATGGTAGCTCTTTGAAAGAACCAGCACAGACATGATAGGCGGAATGTACTGTAGATTTCTATGGTTCTCTCCAGTGGTTGCAACCGAACATTGTGAAAGCAAATGCAAATATACAAGATGCTGACATTAACATAATATTTTCATGTTTCTGTTGCGGAGTGCTGCTGAATACCAGCGCAAATTGTGATACACTTTCAAAGTCTGTGCTATAGCATTCCTAAGCCATAGGTCTATTTGAAAGAGGCAATTCTGACAGGCAATTAAAACATGGGTTAGATCCCCTGTAAAAACAGTTCAAGTTGCTTGCTTTAGGTTTAAATGTTTGAAAGGATAATGAATGTTCATCTTATGAGGTCCTAGACTTGGTAAATTTATATATAATTTTAAAAGCTGATTCAAATAGCAGAAGTACCAATATATACAAATAAAGCGTATCAACTGCTTATGCTTTGTGAACTTCAACCATTTTGGTTTAAGTTGTATGTTGGATTGTTAACACTGGCTTATAAAGTGCTTATAGTTTAGGCTCTACTGTCTAAACTATTAGAATCTCTCATAGACTTTCCTTTTCTGCTAAAAGAATTTAAAGTATGGCGCACAGATCCTGGTTCCATCTTTGACTTTGATCCTCTTGAAGACAACATCCAGTCCCGGAGTCTACATTTGCTTTCTGGTATAGCTCCTGTCTGCTTTTCAGTTTTATTTTTAGTCTTAATTATTTTGTGTAATGGGAATGCAATGAGAAATACTATATGATAATCCTTGCATTTGATATGGCGCCTTATCACGCCATTGAGACGTCTCAAAAAGCTTCACAGAATACATTGTAAAGTAGATTGACTGTGGGTGAAACTCGGCAGCCAATTGCACACAGCATTGTCGCACAAACAGTCGTGGATTGAGCGACCAAATTTTTATTTATTTATGAAGGGATTTTACAAATTTGTAAATATTGAAAAACATCTTATTTCAATAAAAAGAATAACAGCAGCATCATAGGAGTAATGATTTTTTAAAAAATCAATGACCGCAGGCTCAGCTCTAATGAATAAAAAGCCTTAGATTATCATTGAGCAGAATTTCCTGGAGACCTTGAGTTACACAGAACCAATAACTCCAAATTATTAAAGTTTGAAGTAAGAAATGACTGACCCTGAGGACTATAGGTAAATCAATGCCAATTTGCATCATTAGATAGGATTCAATAGAACTACAATAAAAATCTAAAGTGCGTAACAAAATAAATAGCTTCATATAGGCTTTCAAAAACCGCACAATACAGTAAAATTAATCGTCAACATTGTGCTATTTCTACTTTAGTAATTATTCCTCATTTTGTTTAGTATGGTAGAATATCAAAGGGCCTTTACTCTTACACTATCAGCTTGGCTCGGTAAACAGCTGAATCAGAAGGCTGTAGATTCAAGCCCCATGCCACAACTTTGAACACACATAATCTCGCCTGACACTCCATTGGCAGAGGTGCCATCCTTCAGATGGGATGTTAAACTGAGGTCCAATCTGCTTGTTCAGGTGGACGTTGTCATGTACTCAAAAAGAAAAGGGAGTTTCTCCCAGGGTTCTGACCAAATCCCAAGAAAAAATTGGTCATTCCCTTCATCGCTGTTTGCAAGACATTGATGCGCGCAGATTAGCTGCTGTGCTCACCTACAAAATATAGTCATTACACTTCACAATAAATTCTGTGAAGTACTTTGAGATGACCTCTCGACGTGAAAGGCACTTTTGGATCTCAAATGCAAGGAATATTATTAGAGTTATTAATAATCCCCAGAACTGGTCTGCCAGCATAGCCAGGCTGGCTCATTGGCAGGACTCAGAAGTGCAGATCAGTCACTGTGGGCAGGGACTCTTCTCACTCAGTTCAAAGCTCTAAAAGGGCCAGGTGAACAAGCGTCCCAGGCGGTGCTCTGAGTGGCAAGCTATGCTGTTTTATCTGGTTAGACTCTAGCAGTACCCCAATGCACACTCTGGGGTCCCCAAGCCTTGGCTCTTGCCAACCTGCACTAATACTTTCCGGAATTAGGTAAGCAGGGTGTGTCCCTCCAGGGAGAGAGTGCGCATTCCATTCCAATAAATATCTCGAGAATTTCCATGTAGAGGTGGGATGCATGGAAATCTCAATTTGGTTTGGATGCTCTTAAACATGGTGTTGGGTTTCCACATGTCAGACACCCGGCTGACCAAACAAAATTAGGACAATGATTAAATTGCTGGCAGGTTTATGGGAACTCCTCTCCATGAGCTAACTGGTTCTGTACATTTTCAGACCTTGCAGTGAATACATACTAATGTTATATTAATAAAGCGACTCAAATATCAAGACAGCTTTATTAATGTAATATTAACAACAGCAAACTAAAACTAAATACAAACTTAATTTTATTGTTTTTTAAAAAGTTACTCCTTTTGTCATCACTCATTTTCTCTCTATCCCTATTCTCTTGTTTTTATTTTTAGATTTGTTTTACTTTCTCCATTTATTGAACCTTTTTTTTGCATGGTTTTCTGATTGTTGATTCTTCTTTATGACCGCAGGCATCCAACCTCCCAATTGTACAGCATGCACATTCTACAGAAATCATTAGTTATCAATATATACGTTTATAAGTTTATAGATTTGGAACTGGTGCTTTCCCAAAACACAAACAGAATATTATAGTTCTATTTGTATTGGTAAATTGATTGATTGCTTTTCTACAACTATAATCATCATTTGACTTTTGGTAAGAAAAAAGAAATAGCTTACTTTGTATTTTTCACATTTTATTTTATTCTTTTCAATGTATTAGCAATTATCTCAAAAGCTTGCAAAACAACCCTAAATGTATACTGGTTATTACAGTCGTTGAGCATCAACTGTGAGCAAATAATTGGAAATATAGTCGTGGGGATCTTAACGTTGAAGGTAATTGTTAGACTGGAAACATCAGAGTACCATTTGATTTTTAAAACGCAGCCCAAATTAATGCTCGTTTTACACTATAGAACTTCAGTGCAATGTGGTTTCTATATCAGATCATATCTGATTTGACTCGGAATTGAATTGATGCATCAATATAATAATTATTTTAAAAGCAAATACATGTTCAAGAAAGTTGAAAAGTTTGGTTAACTGTGAAAAGGACTGTCAAACCCCCAGCTCTTTAATTATACTTTTTATAAAAAAGTTAACCATAGTTGGTTGGTGGTTATCAGGTGTGCTATTCCAACCTGTCTAATGTCACTTAATTTAGTTAGTGTGAGAAGGTTGTCCTCTTTGTCAGTCCAATATGATGGTGTGATGGTCTCCATTTGCTGACTTTAAGCTTCCTATTTGAAACATTTTGGCAAAAGTCCAAATTTGGTTCATGTGATTGTGAAACCAATGCAACACAGTTGTCTAATTTGGTTCTGAATTGTTAATGTTGTTCAGGGAGGTTGCTGGAATGGCTGGTGTGAGAACTGGGGTATAGTGATGAGTTTAAGGCACATTTGGAGGTAAAATTCCCCAGGGTCTAGTTGTATTCCAGCAATGTAGCATTTCAAAGTGTGCAGGATTTAGCAAATTAAATTCAGTTTTAACTTTGAAACCTGTAGTTAGAATCATAGAATTATACAGCAAAGGGGGCCATTCGACCCATCGTGCCCGTGCCAGCTCCTTGAAAGAGCTATCCAAATTAATCCCACTCCCCCATAGCCTGGCAAATGTGTCCTCCCCATAGTTCTTAAAATAACTTACTGAAAACCAGCATCAAAAATAAAGACTTTTAAGAATCTGACAAATTCTGGATGCTCCGAAAAGCTGGAACTTCAACACAATTGTTTGGATAGAATAAAGGGAACTATGGTTTGCAGGTATCAATTTTGTGTGGTCTGACCTAGTAGTATTTGATCCTGACATGAGGTGTTTGAAATGAAAAAAGTGTTTAATTCCCCTGAACTAACATTGCTCACCTCAATCACAAAGGAATTTACTAAAAAATGAAACGCTGGTTGGCCCAATGTGACTCAAGAGTGTAAAACAAATATTTATTAGTTCTGTTGATTAAGTGGAAAGAAAAGAATGCTCATTGTGTTCTCTGATCTGTCATTTGCAAATAAAACATAAATTTATGAAAATGACAACTTATTTTAAACGTGCAGAGAAATTACAGATTATATATATGTTCAATTGGCCATGGCTTTGTACACAATCTTGTATGTAGGTAACATATACACCTACACATTTATGGTTGTTTGGTGAAATTTTGAGATACCACTTTAATACATTTTCTGTTATCTTATTTGGCTTTACATCAACCCTGCTTTGTGTGCTTTCCTTTCCTTGCTGTAGAAAAGGTAAAACGTTACAGTAAACAATCTGAGTCCACAAGCGTGGGCAGTGTAAGTGTTGCCGGTGAAAAGTCAGAGGTAACTGAGCTTAATCACAGCTTCTCCTGCTACAGTGAAAGTACATTGGAACTATCTGAAGAAGGAGGTACATAAAATATCAATCTTGAAACAGTACTAACATTTACTGCACACTGTTGCATGTAAACTGCAAAAATCTTTTCTAGTATAAAACGGAATGGTTCTACCACACTTAGAATTTAGGTGCAATTCGTTTTGCTTTGGGTTTTGCAATATTAGTTATTCAATTGTTATTCACATTATTCCTTTGTTTACCAACCTTTTTCATACTAATATCAGAGAGTTATTTTGTGTGGCCCATAATATACCTGGCTTAGTCAGTTAGAAACGAGTGTAAATAAGCCAAGATAAAATGCACCTTGCTTGCTTTTGCTTTCAAATACGTGGCACTTTAATCCTAATTGTATATGAGATGTTTCTTTCAGCAGACTATGGGTTAAAACTGAATTAGCAATTTTCTTGGTTTACAGATGAGCAGGAAATCTCATGAGAATTGAGAATTGGTAATGTAAACAGAAAATGGCTAGAAAGAGAAGATAAGAAGGTCATTGTTGATGATAGGAGCACGTTTTACATGTGAACATGAAATGAGCACTGCTATTGCAAACAAAAGATGGCTAGACAGCTTGTTTTTTTAGTCTCTGTATTGGTAACATAGTTATGGAGCATCTGTCCTTTGGAGATGCACTTAGGGCCTGCATTTATTATCTTTGGACCATCAAGTCAAGACAGATGCTTGTAATGAGGGCTCAAGGGTAAAATTGAACCTGGAATATCTGGGCTTTAGCTTAACCAGAGAACTACTTGTCTTCTACTCTACCATTGCTAAAGAGTAAATTACCCCTGACTGCAGCAGGATAGCATTATAATATGGTGTCTTGTACCCTATAAGCTTCTGGTACACATTCTGCTTTCTTACAGAAGCTGTAAATGTTTGAGAGGAAAAACGGAGAGCAGGAAATAAATAATTTAACTTCAAAAATGAACCAAAAAGGGCAGGAGCAATAGTGTAGCGGGGAGAGCTGCAGAGTCACTGGTTGGAATTCTGGTCCCTACTGCATTTGCTGGTCTTAACCAGGAATGCATGGAGAGACTACCTTGGCCCAGGCCTTCCCGGGTTTATAGAGGTGAAAGCCAGCTGGAGCTCCTGCTCCCCATCCCTCTACCACACCCGCTACTGGTTCTGCACATGTGGCAGATGGGTGGGGAGATGTCAGGTTTAGCTGTGACACCTTTTATAATCGAGTAGCCTACCAGCACAACTTGCATTTATATAGCGTTCTACACTCTGTGAGCTCTGAGACGCCATCCGGCGTGGAGGGCACTATATTGTTGTTGTCAACAAGTTGTTGTTGTCATTGTTGTAACGTCTCTGACAGTTACATAACGCACAGTGCCAAGGCTCACACATGAACAATGGCCAAAAAGCAACCAGTGCCTGTGGAACTGCACCCCAACAAGAGAAGGCCAGACCAGGAACAGAGAGGCTTATGCCAATGGAGAGAAAATTAGAAAAATGATTGGACATACTATGTTTTTTCAAGGAACAATCAAACTATCTCTGTTTCTAGTTCTTTATTGCACAAGTCTTCCACTCCAACATTGAGAATGCAGTTTTCTAGTTGGCCCTATTCCATACTTAATGTTTCCTACACAACATTTGCCCTTCCTGTTAATCACTTATTGGATGACAATGGGATGCAGACTGTAGAGATACGCCAGAGATCTGTTGATGAGGTGGAAAGGCTCTAGTTATCCTGGTTATGTAGCTTGGGTTGGTGTTTTTTTTTAAAATCACATTCATCCCAATCTCCTGCTCGCTCTCCATACCTTTATCTCTACCTATGGATCAAAAATTCTAGAGTCTGGAAGATGAGGTAATATCGTTAGATTAATGTTTACCCAGATATTTCAGCTGTATACAGACCTAAAAAGTGAAATGGACAGCATTTTACATGGTGACCTGATATCCACACTTTTTGTATCTACAATGGGGGCAGGTCCCAATTCATGCAGATATCAGGCTCTCTGGTGCATATATAAAAAAACCAATAATATCCAAACTATGATACTCTTCCGCATTGTTGAATTAAGTAAAATGATCACTCTCAGCCTGCAAATGTTTTTCTACAAAGCAGTATTTCACCAAGAGAATGCAGTGTTAATAAACATAATCATCTTATCTCAATCCCCGTAATGGCTACCTACTGAATTCTACAGTGGCAAAATGCCTTATTGATGAACACCAACGTTTCAAGAGGAATATTAAGTTTAACATTTTTATATAAAACATGGAAGCTGGTGCTAATTTAATATGGGTTCTGTAATCCAATATGATTTTCATGCTGACATTTAAGTGCCTTTTGGGCAGAGGAAAATCACAAGGGAAAAAGAACAACACACTCAAATTTGATGAGAAAACACAGGAGGAGGCAATATTCTCATCTTGGGTCCAGTACTGTGTAACTAGGGATCATCAAAATCAATTGATTTGAAGCTTTGTGTGAAACTTTCGTAAAGCAGAACTAAAAATAGTTCTCTTGATGATGATTACAAAATGTGCAGTCACTGGATTTTACAGTATATCCTGAGAAGTGCTTTGTGAAAAGCACCATATCACATGTATGGAATGTTATGTAATTTTTTATAATTATCTTTCTGTAGCTGCTGTCCTTCCTGGGGCATACCAGCAGGTACAGTCTCCTCATTCCTCAGGTTTTGGCTACATGCACCAGTCCAGTGTTTCCTCTATGAGGCCTCAGCATTCTCAATCAGTCTTGTTGGTGAGTGAACTAGTTGTACTTTTCTTCACTGGTTATAGAATGACGCCGGTGAGTATTCACTGAGCAATGAGTATTCCTTTTCAGTCAGTTGTGATTTTTATAATCGGAGGCATAATGATTAACTTACTGAGTTTTAAACATGATTTTTCACTAAGAGTTTGGGTCTAATTTGCAGTATTTAACACATTTCTTAAATGAAATCTGGAAATCCACAACAGCCAACCCAGAGGAATGTCACTTTGAATTTAGTGAGTGTGATATGCATAGTGTTCTTCCTGTTGCTGGATGGAGATTTAGATTTATTTAAATTTAGATTTAATGTCTATTCAGATTTATGCATTTAAAAAATACTGCAAAAAGACCCCAGTTGTGATTATCTCCTCCACAACTACTGGCACATATTCAGGTGTTGCACTCAATCAATAGTGTAACACGTGTCTGGAGTGTCCTGGATTCTACCATCAGCTGATACATACGGTACCTCTCTTTGTGGTCTTCCATTGTTATGTGACTTTTTTTATGGAGTACTCCAGAATCAGCAGAAGTGCTCAACGTACCCAGGGTATCCACTGCAAAGTTATTCTGTGAGAATTTCAAATCTTATTTGTTCTTCGTACAAAGAGACTTTGGTATCCAGCTTAGCTGATGCATTATATCATGAAAAAGAGAATCAAGTTAGACAGTGACTGGTTGCAAGATCTGCCCGCTAACTCTTAATCTGTCAAACAATTTACTGTAACTATTTGTGTTTTTATTACACAGAGGACATTCAGGGCAATGTATGACTACACTGCAGCGGATGATGATGAGGTTTCCTTCAAGGATGGCGATTTTATCGTCAATGTCCAGGCGATTGATGAGGGTTGGATGTATGGCACTGTCCAGAGAACTGGAAACACTGGAATGCTTCCAGCAAACTATGTCGAACCTTTTCACTAAATCTAGTTTCTTGCCGTTTGTGCTTAATCCTTTATTTTTATTACACTAAACGGTAATTCAAATATTAAAAGGGAGCAATGAATCTGTTAAGTATAATAAACCCATATTTACTATCTAGTGGCTTTTCATTATTGTATTCCTGATTATTGTACACCTAGGACTTTCCAACTACCTGTTCTTCTCAATGACCAATGTGGTCATTCACTAAGAAGGGTATCTTGCAGTCAATAAAGCTTTTACTAATGTTATACTTTAATATAAACCGAAGTAGCAACATTGATTGGGCTAGTCCGTAACTGCATAACAAACTTTATCAACTGTTGGGTGTAGTTTGCAGCTTGTGATCAGCCCTGATCATAACTGGCTGCAGCACAAGTGTGATTTAAAAAATAAATTAAAAAGTAGCTATAAGCAATTTTGCTTAGTTTGCTTTTAGGGTATTTGCAAATTCCTGTTTTTGAAAAGTGATTTAAGTTTCAAATACTCATATCAAATATGGTATCTTCTGTTACAAATGATTGTTGGCTAATTTTGAAAAGATTGAATACTAATCAGTACACATTTGTATCTTCAAATGCTTGTGAGATGCACAAAATGACTAAACTCTGCTTTATAGTATAGTACATTGAAGGTATTTCCTTGATGGAATTATGTTTTTCTTTCTATGCACTGCGGATATCTCAAGCACTTTCTTTGCACTGAAGTGAATTGTCTGTGTACAGTTCAATCAACAGTGTTTTACTCCAAAGGAAATGTATGCCCCCTCTGGCCTAGAGGACTCTGGGCTATTATAAAATGGGGTCTGAAAACGTGAGCGTCATCTGGTTTGCTTTGCTTTGGTTGTTGGTCATGCATGCTTTGTCTGCAGTGTATTGTTAGCCAATAGACTGTTTATTAAATTGGTTATAAGATAATCCTTATTAACATTATCCTGATGAATGAACAGGAGTTCCATATAACTGGCACACTGCTGTGACTAGTACCAATAAGGGTCAAATAAAGTTTATCTAATGTATACACTAGTGTTTTGATTGGTGGTCATTTTTTTCTTTGAAACAGGAGTTCTTGTCATCCATTTCATATCCATTGGTAGAGAGACAACTTTAAAAATGCTCGAAAATGTTATCTAAAACCTGGACCCATAACGCAAACCAACATCTTATTCACAGGATGATTGAACTGAGGTGTATTTTTGTCTTTATTTCATTAAATCTTTAACAGATAGGGGCTTTATTTTGGAGGCATTTCCATTTACACTGCAAAATACTGTCCTGCATTCCTACCCTCTTCCTACCCCTGTGACCTACTAACCCTTTATCAACCTGTCCACTCCCTCTGCTCAGCAGGCTCTGGCCTGCTCCACTTCACCTACCCGGCCTGCCCCACCATCAGTGGTCAAGCCTTCAGCTTCTGCGTCCCCTCCCTTTCGAACTCCATCCCACATTCCCTTCGCCTCTCCCTTACCTCCTTCAAAGCACTTCTCGAGATCCTCGTCTTCGACCATGCCTTCAGCCACCCTCCTATCCTCCTTGCTCTCCACCCTCCTTTAGCCCAACCCCCACGGCCCCCCCACTCCCCCACTTGGGTCCAAATTCCTGACTATCCAATGCCTTGTGACGTCCTCCCGACGTGAAAGGCGCTATAGTTTGTATTGTATTATAGATTGAAAATAGCTTTTATTGTTTTGGTTTGTCAAACAACAAATCAGAAATGAGGGTACGATTGTGATGGGGTGGGGGGTGGAAATGGCAGGGTGAGTGTTCTGGACGAATGAGATTGGATGGGCCAAAAGGCCTTTGTCCAATTCTACTTTTATAGCATAGAACTGTAAGAGATTGGAGCCTAAGTCTGATTACTAAAAGGTAATGTTTTTCCCATGTCTTTCCGGTCGGAATTTCCAATATAAAGATTTAATGGGGAATATAGCTATTTTTAATGATCACGTATATTGGACTCTGTTCATTAGGTGCCCCCTCAGGGATGTCCTATCTATATCTGTAAGAAATGTGCTGAATACTCCAACTACATAGAATTTTGTAGAACCAGCTCAACTCGTTCATGTCAGTGTTTATGCTCCACATGAGCCTCCCTTCTGATTCCGCTCTCATAGTATTTTTTTGCTATGTTATCTCAGCTTTTACAACAACCTGTAACCCAAACATCAATTATTACAACAATTTGTAATTATATAGCACCCTTCACGTGGTGAAGCATCTCAGACCACTTACACACCCTCTTGCTAGGTGACACATTTGTTGGCTATTGCTAACTAAAATTATTGTTCATTTTATTTCTGGACAGTGAAGATTTTTTAGATGCCTTACTAAAGTGGTCACACACAAAAAAAATTACTTCCAAATACAAATGGGAGTCAAAAGTTAACTGGAACAACTAGAATGAACAAAACAAATTCCTTCACCAATAAAAGCTGTATGCTGCTGTGTATCTATGGAGATGAACAGAATGAGTGCATCTTTTGTATGAACACTAGCCCTGAGGTCCAGTCTCATGAGGTAATATGCAAACTTTCAAAATTCCCTCCACACTTTTGACCACAACTCCCCCGTCTCTCACCTCCAACATTTCCCAAATGAAGCCCACCACCTGCTCCCTTGATCCCATCCTTGCTCTTCTTACCTCCCAGATCCACCTCCTTGCACCCCTACTAACAGATATCGTCAACCTTTGTCCACTGGCACTATTCCCGCCTCTTTATAAACACCCCCACCCTCAAAAAACCTTCCCTTGACCCATCTCTATTCTCTAACTACTGTCCCATCTCCAACCTTCCTTTTCTTTCCAAGGTCCTGGACTGAGACCTAGCATCATTCTTTCCTGCCACTACCTGGATGAACCCCTCCTTTCTGGTTTCTGTGCTGCCCACAGCACAGAGACAGCCTTGGTCAAAATCACAAATGACAGTCTGTCCATCTGTGAGTGGGGCTCTCTCCTTGTCCTTCTCAATCTCTCTGCTGCTTTTGACACTGTTTACCATTCTATTCTTATCCACCACCTCTCCTCAGCTTCACCTTCATGGTTCTGACCTTGCCTGGTTTCATTCTTACCTTTCCCATTACTCCACATTGTATCTGCTAACGGCTTCTCCTCCAGCACTTGCACCGTCACATGTGGTGTTCCTCAGGGCTCTGTCCTTGATCCTCTTTAATATTTACATGCTCTCGCTCAGTGATATCATCCACAGGTATGGGGTTAACTTCCACCTGTATATAGATGACACCTAACACTATCTCTGCCTCCATCCTCGACTCCAGGACCACTGGTGTCCCCTGCTCGGGTCCCAACCCAACTGTCCAATGCCTTGGGACGTCCTCCTGACGTGAAAGGCGCTCTATAAATACAATCTTGTTGTTGTTGTTGGAATGTCTGACAGGCATCAAGTGCTGGATGAGAGCTAACTTTCCCCAGTTAAATGTCAACAAGACTGAGGCTCTCTTGCTTGGCTCCCATCAGAGTTTCCTCACCTCAGGTGCTGACAGCATCACTATTCACAGCTGCAGTTTTCACCTCATTGATCCAGACGGAACCCTTTGGTGCCTTGTCTGACCCTCAACTGTCCTTTAAACCCCACATTTGTGGCATAACCCGCTCTGCCTTCTCTCACCTCCGCAACATTGCCCACCTCTGCAACTCCTTCTGCCCTCAGGCTACCTCTGCCACCTCCAAAAAATTTACCAACCTACCCACTCCCTCTGCTTGTCAGGCAGTGGGCTGCTTCATATCTGCCCCCTGCCTACTCCACCATCAACGGACGGGCTTTCAGCCTTTATGCCCCCACTCTCTGGAATTCTGTCATGGAGTCTTTCTGTCTCGCTCTCTCCCTTGCCTTCTTGAAGGTCAGTCTCAAGACCTTCCTTTTTGATTATGCCTTCGATTATCCTCACACCCCCTCCCATCCACCCATCTTCATTCCAACCCCCAGCTCAGGTCCTTGACTGTGCAGCGCCTTGGGATGTCCTCCTGAAGTGAAAGGCGTAATATAAATGCCATTTGTTGTTGTTGTAGAGTGATATATTCACAGTATTTACATTAACAGTAGGTTACATTTTACAATAACTTATTGCATAACTTTGCCCTTATCATCCTTCATTCTTGTTGTGGATGCTTAAAACTACTTTCCCTGTAACTATTTTCTCTCGCGTTTTGTAATGCTACTCTGTGTGAAGGGTAATCTATAAATGCAAGTTGTTGTTTCTCTGCTGCACACCATATATTCAATCTGAATTGTTTAAGTAGCTGCTTCAGTTTCTTATAGAGCTGCAGTATGTATCATTTTCACCCTATTCAGATTAGATCTGCTAAGTCACCTCAGTTGCATGAGATTTTGTTTATCTGCTTTCAGTGTATACGTGTCTTAATTACTGAACACTCCACACGCCTAATAATAATCCCTCTAAAACAAAAAAATAATAAATTGGTCATTTTCAATCTACGACTGTTTGCGGGACACTGCTGTGTGCAATTGGTTGCCGTGTTTGCCCACAAATATACAGTCAATTCACTTTACGGTATATTCTCTGAAGCACTTTGAGACGTCTAGAAGACATGAAAAGCGCTATATCAAATGCAAGGATTATTATTATTATAGAGTATATATCCTTTGAGACGGAGTGGGGGGTGGGTCTTTGAGATTCAGAATGCTGCTTTACATTTTTTGACTTAACAAGTTATCACAACACAAATGACTTGTGACATATTAAAACCTCTAGTCCACCACTATTTCAGCAAAGAAGTTAACTCTGGAATTGCATTAAGGGATAAATATATTTGAGTGCATTTGTCTTTTCACATTTGTGATCTGTGTTTGCAACAGTGCATAGAGAAATGCATTCTAATTATATATCTTTGTTCAACTTCTGCCCTGAGCCTCAGTCATTGTCAGCCAGGAGTCAGCTAGCAATCTCACCTCTAACACAGAAGGTTGTGGGTTGCTTAGGACTTTTGTTGTAATCTAGGCCGATAGTCCAGTGTGTTGTTGGAGGCGCCTTCCTTCGAATGCAATGTTAAACCCAAGTGCTATATGCTTCAATGCCATTATTCGAAAAAAGAAGGGAGTTTCTCCCATTGTCTTGATAAACAGTGTCCCACATAACTGATCATTCACTTCCTTGCTGTTTGTGGGACATTGCTGTATTGAAATTTGGTGTCACGTTCGCCTACACAATAATTGTTATACAATATGGTAAAATCCTGTGAGATGTCCTCCCAGCGTGAAGGTCACTATATCAAATCCAAGTATTATTATCATTATCATCTGGCTCTCTGGAACCCTCCGCCAAATCCACTTGGCCATGAACCTTTCCTCCCTGCCTGATAATTTCTCTCTGAAGTACTTCACGATATTTCATTCTAAGTGAAAGTTTTTATATAAGTGCAATTATTTATCTACTATGTATTGATCTGAAGTGGATACATTGTATCATTTACCATAGAAGATCTTTTATTTGTAGTTATTAATTTTTAATATGTATCATATGATTTATGGGAAATAAATTAATATGTCACATGTAATTTTTTTGTATTATCTTTCAAACCTAATCTCTCAATAAAGAAAATAAGGTGAACTTCAAGCTAATTTCTCCAAAATAACATTGTTTTACAATTTCTAATAATCAAAAACAAGATGTTCTTTGTGACTGCCATGTTAAACTATAAAGATCTATAATGCAGTAAAATTTACATTTATTATAGTGCCTTTCATGTCAGGAGGACATCTCAAAGCTCTTTATATAGTCAGCTGGATACCTGGGCTGGAGAGGGACTAGCTGAGCTGAGTGAAAGTATCGTCAAAGAGGTAAGTCTTAAGTCAGTCTTTAAAAGTGGGGAGAGGGGGGATGCATCAGAGAGACTTTGGGATGGAGTTTCATAGAGCGGAGCAGAGTGTCTGAATTGGGGAACGAACATGAAGCATAATTAATCAATCAATTTGGAAAATAGCAAACTCCAACTGTCCCTTGGGTGCCTAAGTTAGTAGGAAGCTAACACCTCTGGTTTAGAAGGTTGT